TTATTTCCTTCACACTAGCATTGAAAACAAGTAAATGGATAAAAGTTTCCTTGTTTTGTTTATTTAGGCAACATATCCCATAATGGTTTTCATGGTTTGATAAAGAAACAGATACACAAGTTGGGCATGATAGCACATCCCTGTAATCCTAGAACTTGGGCTGCTGAGGTAGAAGGATGGTAAGTTCCAGGCTAGGGTGGGCTATATAGCAAGATCCTGTCTCAAAACAAACACAAACAAACAAATATAACACAACAATAACAAAAAGCTGTTGTGTTGGCTTGTAATCTAGCTACTCTGGGAGATGGAGATCTGGAGGATCACAATTCAACGCCTGGGGACAGTTAGTGAGACCCTCAACTCAACCAATAGTGCTGGGTTTGGTGGCATGTGCCTATCATCCCAGGTACACAGGAAGCATAAATAGGAGGATCCCTGTTTAGGCTCACCTAGGCAAAACCAGTAGACCCTATCCCAAAAATAACTTAAAGCTAGGGGTATGACTCAAATAGTAGAGCACCTGCCTAGCAAGCATGATGCCTGAGTTCAACCTCCAGGATTAGCAAACACGCGCGCACACACACACACACACACACACACACACACACACAGAGGCACAAATTATGAAATTTATTTGTGAAATAAAACAAGAAATTTCTTAAAGCTATGCTTCATGGAAAGTCTACTAAAGCATGGCTATCTTTGGGTACTATGATTATGGATTATTACAGATGATTTCCATTTCTTCTTACCTCTTTTCATATTTTCCAAATTCTCTGTAATAATCATGTATTACTTCTGCCATCAGAAAGGAGATTTTTTTTTAAAATAAGCATTAAAATTAACACAGTATACCTGTTGTATGTCAATCTGCTTATACTTTCTATATGACATCAAGTAGTTCTCTTTCTCTCAATGACTAAATCTTGATAATTTTATTTACAAATTAGAACCAAATCATTTGTATAATGATTGCATTGGTCCCTACCCTTCTCCACAGAAAATGACAAGGCTAGGTCCATGGAGCATATACTTTGTTAAGCAACATTAAAGATGTCATTACTAAAATGACTATGCAGGCTTTTCACCAGACTTCATTAAAACCTCAAGGAAAGGTCAAAGCAAGAAGTGGCTGACTGTCAAAAAAAAAAACCTCCAGCTTCTTACACCCTTCCTTGACCCCAAACACATGGTATGCAGCAAATATTTTCAGGTTATATAAAGAAAGCTTGAAACTGAAAACTGCATCTAAATTGTACAATGTGATGATTGGGGCCAGTGTGAAGAAGGAGAGAGAGATTTAAAAAAGAAAAAGAGGGAAAGGCTTTCTTTATGACAACTCAAGTCTTTATGAAAAGGGTTTGAGATCCTGGGCTGAAAGTTATTAAGTAAATACTGCATGACATGTATGTTGTACAACACCCTGCATAGCATAATTATAAGTTGCCTTCAATTATCCAAAGCCTTTTGTGTTTCCTGGTTTGGACTTCGTATGCTTTCACCCACTGAGCAACTCACAAGCTCCATAAAAAAGTGGGTATTTTTCTTAAATCTCTTTTCTAGCCAAAAATGTTTTTGTAAGTCAAAGGATTCAAATTTACATGGTGGAAAGCAACTAAATAATACTTGTTTCCTTCTTATATCCTCCTTTCTTTAAAAATGTCCTATATATGACAAAATAAAATTAAGAAAACACCAGTTTCTAATTAGAAGTACATAACTGAAGGCCAATTCTTCAGATTCAGAGAGCCTAATCTGAAGCGGGTAGCTAGGAGCAAGACAGTGTAGACACGGCTAGGGTCCCAGCCTTGGCCCAGTTGACAATTTGGGCTGAATAATTCTTTGGGGCGAAGGGCTGTCCTTTGTATTTTAAAATGTTCAGCAACATTCCTGCATTCCACTTAATAGATGCAAGTAGCACAGAACTCCAATCCTCCAGATACAACCATCAAAAAAGTCTCTAGACATTGTTAGACATCTCCTAGGGAAGACAATCATCTTTAGTTGAGAACCACTGCACTAGCCTGAAAATCTTACAAAACCAAGCTCTTTGTGCTTTTGCCAATTCAAATTGTTTCTTTGAATGTATAGTCAACCCCTACCTACTTATCCACCCACCAATATAAAATACAGACATTCACAAATGCCCTCATGTTCTTCATGTCAAAGCCTTTATCTAGGGTTCTTCCTTTCAACCATTCATGCCCAATTTGGCTAGAAGGAGAGAAGCAGTCACTGACACTCATGACCCACACTTCACTGAAATGAATGTCAATGCTTATTATTTTTAATGTGTATAAGTTCAGAATGTCCCCTTTTTTTTAGAGACATGGTCTTACTATGTTGCCCATACTAGCCTCATCCTACAGGGCTTAGGGATCCTCACACTTCACTCTTGGAAGTAGTTGGAACTGTAAGTGTGTGCCACCACACTTTGATGTCCCCTCTAGCCACGCTCTGCAAACCTTTCCCTCCCATGAATATTATTTCATGCATAATTTTATTTAATTAACCATATTTATCCTATCTCTCAATTGTTTTCCTCATTTGGCACTTAAATATACAACTATGATCCAAGTTTGAGATTTTTATTTCCAAAATTTATGCTACATTACAGTCTATTAATTAAAGTCAGGGGGAGGGACTTATAGAACTTAAATTTTTTTTTTCTCTAAAATACTCCAAAACAAAGCAACATGTTAGATCATAAAAATTTTATTTGTATGCCTACTAATATATTTAAAGGATAATTATTCTCCCCACTCCAAGTCATTTAATGCTTGAAGCACCAATAAAAATGACCAAAGGGGAGTTGATTTCTTCCATGGAGAAATGTTATTAAGGAATTCTTCCCTGTGCAAAACTCTGAAAAGTGGATGTGCCATTACTAGATTCATGACCTGAAGCAAGCACCTTAGTTTCTCCTAGGTTGTTTCATCTTTGGATTGATGATTCTGATCCTCTTAGAATTAGAACATTGAATGAAATGTCCTGTTCCAAGCTCTTAGCTCTGTGCCTAACATTTAGGTATTTTTCATCATTTTCTCTGCAGCTTCCCATCTTTGGTCCTGTCACTGATTAAATAAAATGTGAGGTTCAGTTCAGAATAAGAATATGGGCTTTCTTGTTCAAAAATTATGAAGAATCTCAAGGCAACAGCTGAATATTAAACCAAGTGGGGGCTCTTGTCAGTTCTGAAGTTCTGTGTGACTGCCAAGGTTCATTTTCATTAAGCCAGCCGCTCTAAGGTTTCCAAGGGGCCACTTGTCTATCTTTCCACTAAATTAAAAGCCACTCTTCAAATCTGACAACTGGCCGGGAAATAAATGCAACTGAGTAAAGAGGACTTGATTATGTGTGCTGTTTTTTCAGTGCTGGCTCACGTTTACTCAAGAAACATGTTGAATGCTAGTGAGCCTCTGGTTTTCTAAATGGACTGCATTCATCTGTCAGCATATTTCAGTGGTTTGCATCATCATCAATCTGGGAGAATTAAAAAACAGTCACAATGAATTCCCCTCACTTTCTCTCCCCCATTCAATTAACGTATGCTAACAAAAATGAGGGAAAAAAAAGAGGTTAAAAAAGAAGACGTGAAAAACAAAGGTAACAAAAAAGTCTTAGTTGTTTATAAGTAATTGAACCCTTGATTTACAGTCCCAAGAGGCACTCAGTGGCTAAAGAGGCACTCAAATCTGAAGCTCTCTACTTAGACTTACCAAACAGCATTCACAAAGAAAGCAGCATGGCTCCAAACAGGTGATTTAGAGCTAGAACTTTTAGGGAAGTGTTCCACTTGTCACATATATGTAAATAAACTGTTCATGTAAAATAAAAACTCTGCTTTAAAAGAAATAGCTTATTCTGAGCTAAAGAGTGACCCTGACCAAGAACACAGATTCAAGTTACCCAGAATGATGTGTCCCAAAGTGCAAGAGGTTATATGAACTTTTTATAGCCAGAGAATAAAGGAAGCCATAAATCAATACATTCAACAAATACATTGGTAGGGACATTAGGTAGGCAGGCTACAGCAAAGTGGGAAGTCGTTCCTGTGCATTTCAGACGTTACAGCATTCAGTAGAGGCTAGAGGCCTGCTAAATTTAACAATACATTCAGTGAGGTTTACCTAACAGAAGAATGTTGGGTCAGATACAAAGGTTAAACGTAAATGGCTGTTTTTCTAAAGGACCTAAGACAGTCTAAGATAATTTTGTCTCTTGACTCGCAACATTCCATCTCTCTGCAATCACAATGTTCTACTGAGCCAAGATCAAGAGAGAAATTTCCTCTACTGGAAGAAGTACAAACAGCATTCTGTCAGAGCAAAGAGCACACTTACTGAGCACCTATGCACCAGGTGCACATTATCTATATTGGAATATTAAAGTGTATATTAGCTTCTATCCATTTATTTAATCTCTAGACACTCAGGATATATATTTATGTAAATATCTCCAAATAACAGCAAGATGCGGAATCTGGAATGAAGATTTTATCTGACTCTACCTAAAGCTCACGTATCAAAATCCTATTTAGTTTTGATACGAACAATTCTGGGGCCCAACGTATCGCAGTCTCTGTGTAAAACAAACTTCAACAAACCTTAACATACTTGTTAATCACATTGGTTTACATGGCCACCTTGCTTTTACCGTAATTTACACTCTTTCTGGTCCCATCACCACAAAACGCTCAGGTCTAGGGACTAGCAATTTCGTTAACAGTTGGTCGAGAGAGCAGAACAAAGATAAAACCCAAGGCGGGGGCGTGCGTGCGGAGAGGAAGCTACAGCACGTGGGACCGCATCATACTCAGGCCTGCGCGTCACTCCCGGAAGCACACTGTTCGGCGCAGGCGTGGGGACCCGAGCGGGAGGGAGGGGTCGGTCCGCGGTTTCCTAGGAGACTAGGCGGAAGCGACCGGAAGCTGTGCTGCCGGGAGAAGCTGGGGGCGGGGCCTGAGGCGTTCGGCGCCACGACGGGGCAGAGAAACGGGCTCGGGCCATGGAGCTGGCGGACGCGGAGGCGGCGGGCTGCTCGCAGGGTGCGCGGGCGCCTGGGGAGCCCGGCGACCTCCCTGGGTGTAAATGAGAAGGTTGGGGCGAGGCGGGGCGAGGCGGGCGCTCGTCTTCCCGGCCCAGATGGAAGAGTGTGTTTGTCGCAGCTTGCGACTTGAGAGGGATGGCCTCTTCACCCCTTGGAGTAGGAAGGGGCGCTTGTGTCCTACCAGGGGGTGCATCTGTACCTTCATGTGCACCCGGTGGGGTGAGGTGGGGCGGGCATCCCAAAACCTGCCTTAGGAAAGCTGCATGTGAGGACCTAGTCGCTGGCGGAACAGAGATTGAGACCTGACCGCGGCCTGTCGTGGGTAGGGAGGGATGGCTCCGACCTTGGCACATGTGTCAAAGTTTAAGAAATTAAAATTGACTCACTATTGATTGAATGACACGATATTCAGACTGCCAATTTTCCCGCTGGTGTGTTTTTTCTGTCCTAGGATCCAGACTACGTTGTGTTTGGTCTGCCTTATTTTTAACTAAAAGCAGGGATAGCCTGCCATGTCCTTCCCCATCCATGACATACATCAATTAGTTTTTAAAAATTAGTTGATGCTGGGGATTGAACCACGGGCCTACGTGTTGCTAAACGGGCTCCATTGATGGGCTACATCCTCAGCCCGAGTTTCTTAAAAGTTAGGAAATGCTCAGTCTTTCAATTCAGTGAATATCGGTAGTTTGCTGTTCTCTAGGCACTGGGGACTTGGCTTGTTTAGCCAATCCTGCTTTCATGGGGGAGCTAAATATAGTTCACTGGAACTCAGGGATTGTCTTGCTAGTTTGTATTTTAGATTATTTAAATGTAGGGACAGGTCACTTACAGTATTTCATAGAGGTTGGAAATCATTGTTTCAACTTTTATGCCTTTTTTGAAGTTACTACAATTTTAAATTCAGAGTGTTAGCTTTTGCTCCCTCCAGAATGGATCACGAATTTTCTCCGTCTGGCTGGAGGTAAGGCAGAAGTGGTAGACCCTTGCCCCGCAAGCTCGAAGCCCTGAGTTCAAACCCCAGTACCACCAAAAACAAAAAGATTTTTTTCTCTCAAGTCACTATGCCGACAGAAACGCAGCCCACAAAGACATGCTAATTAAGTAAACAGGAATGAAAGACCCTACTGTTGATGGAATTCCCTGTCTTTGTAATTTTGAATGCATTGGCACATCTAAATGTTTGACATTTAGTACATAAAACCCTGAAAAGAACTTCAAAACCATCCTGCATTCGTTCCCAGATAAAATATTTTAAAAAACCGTTAGTTGCTCAAGAATGATAAGCAACCTGAATATGTTTGTATTTCTTTGTATATTGTGCAGCAGTTCACAATCAACTGGTACCAACACGAAGTTCATCCAGAGTCATAGTACACGTGGATTTGGATTGCTTTTATGCACAAGTAGAAATGATCTCAAATCCAGAATTAAAGGGCAAACCTTTAGGTAATTTTGTACATTGATAATATTTTTTGTTGTATGAGAGAATTAGCTAATCATGCATCCCCTTTTGTTCTGATTTCTTAGCCATATTAAAGACTTTAGAAGCTGTTTGTAAGGTATTCTCATTCTTTGCTTCACTACCAAGTGTAATGCTCATAGCCTCATTTTATAAACCATGAATCTGAGCTTAGTATAGCTAACTGAGCAAATGAACAGAATAAGCTTTTAATTTTCTATGTTAGATAGTAGCTTAATTCTCTAGGCAGGTTTCTTTTTTTCTCAATGTTTGAAATTTTTGTTTTTTTGAGGTTGGCTTCTTCAACTTTCTGTATAACACAGGCTGGCCTTGAAAGTCCAGCACTAGTGTTTCAGATTGTCTAGAATCTCAAAAATAACTTCGTCATTTTGTTACAGTTTAGTGGAAGTTTTCATCTATCCTTCCCTTTTTAATTCTTGAATTAAAATGTTTAACCAAACAGTTGGATTTTAAACAGAACCCTAAATAATAAGAAAAACTTTTCATAACAACACAAGCATCTTTTTAAATGGGCAAGAAGAAATTTCGCATTGAGGATTTATTTTTTAGTATTCTAGTATGCTTTAATGTTTTTATTGTCATACCTTAAATTGAGAAAGCAGAGACTTCTCATATGCATGCAAGAAGCATCCTTATGTGTAAGCATAGAGAACAATTTTGGTTTTCTTGCTAGTACCCTCTTGTTCCTTATTTGGTTCAGTATATCTCAATCCAGTCTTATTGATTTATTGAAAAACAAAGGGATGACTAATCTTTGGTATGCCAAGGTGGGGCTAGGATTTTTAAATTTTCCATAGGGTGTCAAGGATTTTAGGATTAGGGTACTTAAATTTTTTCTCCTGAAAGCATTTCTAATTAGCATTGTTACATAAGATGTTCTGTAATAATGCTTAATAAAAGGTATTGTGTGATTAAGAAATACAATTAATGATCATGATGTGAGGAATGCGAAAGCTGAGTTTCTTGGAGAAAGCAATAGTCTCATTTATACTCAATAAATATATGACCAGCTCAGGCTGTGATGTACATTTGGGAGTTCATACGCATTAAAAGATTCTTTAGTTAAGGAATTTACCAGTCTGATTTTTTTATATAGTACCCTGATGAATATTAAGTTACTACCTTTGTCTCAATAATTATACTTTTGGGCATAATCTGATGTATATATATGAAAAAACTACCTGCAAATAATGTTTCTTTGTCTTGTTTATAATATCAAAAATTAAAAAATATGGTCATAACTTTTACTGATACTTGCATTTTATATATTTTAGATGAACATTTTACAGTGCCATCAAATAGGCAACTTGTGTAAAAAAAGAAAAGCAAGTAATTTTAGCAGTCTGTGTCTCCAGTAAACAAGAATTTTTTACAGTCTGTAGATGGTCAAAATGTATTTGTTTTTGATAGGGAGCTCAAAATGTCTCCTATCAAGTCATATGCATATTTTTAAAGAGCAGTTCAATAATTAGGATACTTATGGGAGGAGAGCCCTAAAAACTGCTGTGGCTTGGCATGTACAACATTGCTTATATTCAGTGTCAGTTTACTCAGAGATAAATGAATTTTTCTAATGGCAGCCAGTATTTAATTGTACTCAGTTATTTTCATCTGCCTTATTTTTTGATAAAGCATGCACTAGAGTTATACATAGCAATATAGATTAATAGGTTTTCATTTTGCCTGAAAAAAAATCCTAGGAGAATTTTATTTCTTATCACTGAAAATTTCATAGGATATTTTGATTTATGGCAATTTTTGTTAAATTTGAGAATTACACAGTTTGCCTTTTGTATGTGAAAATTGATTCACATTCTAACATGTAATTTCTATTATTATTCATTATTGTCTTAGGTAATAACAACTTCCTTCTCCAAAGAGAACAACTAAAGATCATAAGTAGGATGTGGGAAAATAACGTTGGAATCTTAATTCATAAATAGGCAATAACTCAAAATCCTAATACTTTTTTTTTGTAGAATTTTAGGGGCCATGTTTTTTTAAACAAGACACCTTTTTATTCTTATCAAAACCCATTGCATTACACCTTAAATAATTATAATATGGCTTAGTAAATTATATTTTAAAATGTCTAATCAATCCTGCTTAATTTTCTCATAGAATATTTATTTTTTTATAGGTGTTCAGCAGAAAAACTTGGTGGTTACTTGCAACTATGAAGCTAGGGAACTTGGAGTTAAGAAACTTATGAATATCAGGAATGCAAAAGAAAAGTGTCCACAGTTGGTGTTAGTTAATGGAGAAGACTTGACCCGTTACAGAGAAATGTCTTATAAGGTTACAGGTACAAATAATATGCAATATATTTTTAGCATTAATTTTTATGTAAGGTGCCTTCACTACATAAATCCTAATAAAATGAATAAACCAAGTTCTGTTTTCCTAATAGCTTTTTACTTTGGATCTTGTCCACTTTAAAAATTATATAAGGTGATTTTCTATGTTATTAATAATGTTAAAAGAAAATGTATAGTTGGAAGTAATTTGAATTTTGTAAAGGCTAGTGTTTACAAAAATGTAAAATGAAGCTTAAAGGTGAGAAAATGGAAAAACATTACCAAAAAGGAAAGCAAATATTTTAAATAAATTTTGAAGAAACATGTTTACTTATGCCGTAATGATAGTTGGGAGAGGCTTCTGTAGTGTTTGGTTAGCATAATTAAAACCTGATTTCTTAAGAACTGTTAATGGGTGCATTCATCTTTTCTTAGATATTTACACTGTAGCTAAACTCTCTATGCCAAGGTTTGGGGTTGAATCTTAGTGTTTGAGGCCCTCCTGGGCTATACAATTCAGAAAAAACTATGTTAGAGAAAAAAAAAAAAGCCTAATAAAAATTGACCAAGGATAAGAACCAGCAGTTACCAACAAAGAACAAGTGTAGCGTCTAACAATTACAGGGAAAAAATGCTCGAATTCATTGGTGGCTAAGTTAATTTGAATTAGTAAGACATTTTATATCCATGATACTTTTTAATAAATAAAAATGTGAGAAAAAGTAGAAGCATAAATTACTACAAACTTTTTAAAAAAACAATCAAGAAGCACTTACTGAAATCAAAGATAAGAGCTGGGATATAACTCAGTGGTAGAGTGTTTGCCTAGTATGTGTGAGGCCCCAGCACTGTATACGTCTATGTCTATCTGTCTGTATATCTATCTATCTCCATCCATCTTTGTATATACTATATATATATATATATATATATATATATTATATATATGTAATATATATATTATTCTGCAACTTGGTATCACTGCTAGTCATTGCTTTCTTGGGCCTTACATAATTATATGTTGAATAAAGGCATCTTATTTATGAAGTTACTTTTAGCAATTGGCATAGTTAAGGGATTTGTCTCCACTACCTGGTAATACAGTATAACCACTATTAGTGATTCACCAGTTTTGTGCAGTGCTTGCATTAATAAAGCAGAATGTTCTTTTTAGTTTTTTTGTAGGAGTGATCTGTGTGGAACAACTTAGTCCTTTTATTTTCTGAGTCTTTTTGGTGTTCACCAGGTCACATTGTTGTCTTTATTCTTTTCCTGTTGTTATCAGTGTTTGCATTAATAAAGCAGAATGTTCTTTTTAGTTTTTTTGTAAGAGTGATCTGTATGGAACAACTTAGTCCTATTATTTCTGAGTCTTTATAGAACCTTAAGAACTTATGCATTTTTCATATGCTAAGAGACATGCAGTTCACCTGTATCTACATCCATGGGTTCAAGTAACTGCAGAATGAAAATTTTTTCAAAAAATTGCTTTGTTCTGAAATTGAGCCAAAATTTTTCATGTCATTATTCCCTGGACAATACAGTATTACAACTATTTATGTTGTATATGATACTATGAATGAGTAATTTATATGTGAGGGTATGCCTAAGATATATACAAGTACTATATCATTTTATATAAAACACTTGAGTATCTGCAGGTGTTGGTTTCTATGGGGGTTCCTGGAACCAGTCCCTTGTAAACACTGAGGAACTGCTGTGTTTCCTGTCATCCAGCTGGTATCAGTGGAAGGTGATTCAGAAGCAAGGGAAAATCTTAAGTGATTTCAAAGTTGTTAGTCTTGATTCTAATCTGTCAGAATCAGTATTCGGTTGTATAAGAATGTATTTGAAGTCTTGGTTCAGTTGAGTTTAGTATACATAGCTACTGTGCTAGGTGCTAGACATTTGAATACCATTCTGCTCTTACGGAATATGCTAGGGAATGGCTAATGAAAGTACTGTATTGTAGTATATTTTGAAAATCAGTTGACTTCTCTGAGTGACTCAATAATAAGTAGAAATTTTAAATGTTACTTAGTTTTGTCTAATTTAACTCGTTTAAAATATATAGCTAAAAATACAGCTAGAGTTTTTGTTTTTACTTTCCTAAGCAGACTATAATTTATTCTTTGACATCTGCTTCAAAATTATAATGTACTACAGATAAAGAAATTAATAGGTATAGAAGATTGAGCTAAATATATTGCTATGAGTAACTGTCCTAGGAATGTTATTTTGGGGGGCTTGGTTTGTTGAAAAGTACTCCCCCACTTAAAATGTGGCACAGAAAAAAATAAAACTAATTATGGAACTGTGGGGAAATGTGGGGAACATATGTATATATATATACACATATGTATATAATTTAGCAATGTATTTGATGATTTTTAAGCATTAAGTAGATAGATCTGTTCTAGTTATAACTTCAGTTACAGCTATGCTCCAATATTATTTCAATTTAGAATTGTTGGAAGAATTTAGTCCAATTGTTGAGAGACTTGGATTTGATGAAAATTTTGTGGATCTAACAGAAATGGTTGAGAAGAGACTACAGCAGCTTCAAAGTGATGAAATTTCTGCAGTGGCTGTGTCAGGTCATGTGTACAATAATCAGTGTGAGTGACTTCTTATTCATTCCCCTTGTCTTAATGTTCCCTGACTTCACAGTATCATTCTAAAGATTTATAACATTTTTGGAGGTATAGTCGTATTTAGACAGTAATTGAAGATAACTAAAATGACTTGCTATTTCATATTTGCATTTGTAAATAAGCTGGTATAAGTGCTCATTAGTATTTAACCAAGATATCTAATTCAGGTATCTAGTGACTCAGTGAATCCTGTATCATAGCATATATAAAACAAATGACTCTGCTTTTGTAAAAGTGTTACTTGATCCTGTTGGTCCTAAGCCGTAGGATGTATTCCCTTTGATCGCACTATTTGAAGGCTAGTAATCAGTCTCTAGAAACATTTTTCACAGAAGGGATAAAGCTACTGTTTCTTGGAGACATGAAGCTTTCCTACGTCTTTTGTACCTGTCTTGTCACAGGGCAAAGTAGCAATAAGCTACCAAATATATTTCTACATAATTTTTACAGCAAGTGTGAATTTCTAACTCACATTTTATCAGTTACTACATATCACTGTACAAATAGAGAATGTCTAACTCATTAAATTTTCCTCTTCCATACAAGAATTTATTAATTTTTTTCAACCAATAGGCTTATACAGTGAACACCCTTTATATCCTTTCTTGTAGATAAACCAGTGACATTTATGTTGTCTTGCTTTCATTGTGGAAAGGGTGATTTGATTGGTGAGCCTTTTGGTAGTAGTTTGCAGACATCATGACACTTCATTTCTAAATCCTTCTAGCCTGAGTCCTACGGATGAAAATGACCCCATATAAGTCTAATACTGTTTAACACCAAAGAAAATTTGTTTCTGTATAATTTCCCTACAATTTCATAAACGATCTCTTTTTTTTTTTTTTTTATTTCCCTTTTTTTTTTGGTGGTACTGGGGTTTGAATTCAGGGCCTCATCCTTGCTAGGCAGGCACACTACCACTTGAGGACTCTGTTAGTCCCCATAAAAAAATCTCTTAAATAGGCCAGAACCATTTCCAGCAGCACACATATTTTGCATAAGGTTTAAATTTAGGTCTTCAATGCTATAATGTTAGCTTTCTTATTATATAAAACTTACATGCTTATTTACAGGTAAATGTGAATAAAAGTTTTATTAATGTCAGTAGGAATTTTTTATGAGATCAGTTTTCATAATCTGTTAATCATTAAGCCCCATATGCATTCATTATTGCAGACCCTTGGAATTCATTTGTGGTATTTGATTACTTTATAGTATCTTATGAAAACTAAAGAAATAAGTTATGCATAGCAGGGTACTGAATGTAGTAGGAGGGTTTGGATATAAACAAAGCCCTGTGCCTTTTAAAAACTCATTTGTAAAAAAGAAAATTAAAATTGTTTTTTGTTATGACTGTTAACAACATTTTCTGTTTTTATAGCTGTAAACCTCCATGATGTCATGCACATCAGACTGCTTGCTGGGTCTCAGATTGCAGCAGAGATGCGGGAAGCCATGTATAATCGGTTGGGGCTCACTGGCTGTGCTGGAGTGGCTTCTAATAAACTATTGGCAAAATTAGTTTCTGGTATCTTTAAACCAAATCAGCAAACAGTCTTATTACCTGAGAGTTGTCAAGATCTCATTCATAGTTTGAACCACATAAAGGAAATGCCTGGTAAGACAAATATATTTGAAGAGGTGTTGGCTTTATTGCATTTCTTTAATCTTAAAAATTATTAATTCCTATAGGTATGTACTTGACTCTTGGAGAAAACATAAAACCAACTATCATGTTTTCTGGAACAGCTGTCTATGAGGAAATAGTGAAAGTACTTTTTCTACATCTGATCATGAAATTTATAACCTGGAGTTGGGCACCAGTGGGTCATGCTTGTAATCCCAGCTATTTGGGAGGCTGATATCAGGAGGCCAGCCCAGGCAAATAGTTCACAAGACCCCCATCTCCAAAATAACTGAAGCAAAACGGACGAGATGTGGCTCAAGTGGTAGAGCATCTGCTTTGGAAGCGCGATTACCTGAGTTCAAACTCCTGTCCCACCAAAATAAAAGAAAATCATAACCTGTAAACACATGGTCCTTTATTTCTAGTCCCTGGTTCATAGTCTTACATGTGCATTGCAGCTAGAGAAGGGAGTTCATCCTTCACTAATTCTTTTTGGGGGTTAGATATATATAATATCGGCTCAATGGACCTTCACTAGGCCAAGTTCCTCATTTTAAAGAGAAGAAATTGATTTCCTTGAGTTCACTGACCTATTCAGTTCATGGAGCAAATTTGTATCTTTGAAGATTTAGTACCTGTATTTTAATAGATAATTGTCAATGAATATGTCATATTTTATTTTTATAGCATTGTTGGTGAATGAGATGTAATAAAAGAATTTTGTGAAAGTGAAATATAACTTCCTATTTTTAATCAACATTTCTGTGATCTTACAATATATTATATCCTGCCTTGCCTTCCTCAGTGTAGTATAAGTATAATTTTGAAGTTTGTGGGGACGGTCTGTGTTCTGAAGAGCAATGTCAGATTGTAGTAAGTTGAGGACTCTTACTTGAATTTACTTTTTGAGTATGGCATCTTGTTTTTACTGGCTTTTTCTTTTTCCCTCGCTGCCAATTGGCAGTCTTCTTTTATTTCTGCTGTAAAAATATGTGACCCCACTTTAGTAATTCCCTTTATACACCTGTTCCTTCTAATTTTCTGCTTTTCTGGTGCAAGGAAACTAGATAACTGTAGAAGTACTCTTACTATTTTTTTTTAATGAAAGTAATAAAAATATACTAAATACCCTCAGTATCTTGTGAATTAAATATGACTGACTGAGTTTAAGATAAAAACTTTTTTAGTATGAAGACTTTTGTTTCCTTGTTTGTTCTTAGTTGTATTCTGGGTGGTCGCTATAGCTAGATATGACTTGTGGATAAATGTTTGGTGGTGTGTGTAGAAACCAGGTTGACAATTTTAATTGCTGTAGTGAGAGTCTTTTTGTTTATACTACTAACTGACAGGTGATAAAAATGTCATTTTATCAAGACAGAGTTTGCTGTCTATATTTATTACACTGTATGCTGTGAGAGCTTGTGAGAGGTCTGTGTAACTCAAGAGCCCCGATAGGAAGAAAAATAACCCAATTTGCAATGGAATTTGAACTTAGCAAGATAGTAATTGTGTAACTTAATATATGATGGACATGTTTAATATTTTAGTTAGCTTTATTTTAAGGAGTAAAGCCGTTGTAACATTATGCATTTCTTTTGGTTAGGTATTGGCTATAAAACTGCCAAACGTCTTGAAGTTTTGGGAATCAACAGTGTACATGATCTCCAAATCTTTTCATCCAAAATATTAGAAAAGGAATTAGGAATTTTAGTCGCTCAACGTATCCAGAAGCTCAGTTTTGGAGAGGATAACTCTCCTGTCACACCTTCAGGACCACCTCAGGTACATGACCATGATATTTATTTTAATTAAGTACTGGTCATAATAGTATTTGAAAGAAAGATTTCTCTCAAATGTTCTTACCATTGTAGTTTTTCAGTTAGTACATGATTCCTTTCCTATGAGAAGGCTAATTTAGTATATAATATTAATATTTTTAAATTGAAATGTAAACATTAATATTTCTAAATCTCAAATAAGCCATTTTGATTGACTACAACTTAATTTTAGTAACCCATAATGTACATAGGAGGCAAAATGTTTTAATATTTTAGAAATCTTTTCAGAATAGTTCAGATGGGAAAGTTGTAGTCACCCAGTTAATGTTGATTTTCTTCCCCCTGTGTTAAAAGGACTGTACTAAGTGTTACTCTTTACAACAGACCTGTCAGGTAGCCAGTACTATTGTTTATTCATTCCTTCCTCCTTCCTTTCTTTGCTTCCTTTTCTTCCTCTTAAAGATGACAGGACTATAATTTAGAAAGTTTAAATAACATCCAAAATTCCTTAGCAGATTGAAGTGCTAAGGATTAAAAGCCTTGCTGTAGTCGTACAGTAAAGCTTGAAGTTGGTACTACAGCTTTAACAATTTTCTTGACTTAATAGTGCACTTCTAGTGAAGTACAATAACTTTCAGACAAAAAGAGTTAAATCTAAAAGTGAAGTAAATGTTTCAAACTAAGTATAGTACATAAGTTGGTAAAGAATTGTTGAACATTTATTTGACATGTATACTGATAATTGAATATATTTATCTGTTTACATTTAATCCCTATTTATAATTCTTTTGTAGTCCTTTAGTGAAGAAGATTCATTTAAAAAATGTTCATCAGAAGTTGAAGCTAAAAAGAAGATTGAAGAACTTCTTGCGAGCCTTTTGAACAGGTGATTTGCAATCCATTTTGCCAAGTCATCCATATGCACTAAATGGAAAAAACTGCTCCATGTTCTGTCTTGGATCTTACAGATTAATTGGAAACTAAACAATTTTATCTAGTATAAATAATGTATCATTGGATTTCTCTGTATTGTAAACTATTATAATGATAGTAATATATACTTCCATTAGTCTTAATTTAAAAAACATGGTGGTTATATTGTGACCCTTGAACTACAGGTAGTTACTAAATTGGTTTTATGGATATCTCTAATACTCTTAGGTTTATTCTGGTCCTTAAGTAAGAAGAAAGGTTTAATTTTTCTCTATGGCAATTACAAAACCTTTGCTTTAACTTAATAGTTACTTGCTTTTTAGTAAGAGGAAAAGGATAATAGGAATAATTCTGTCGTATTCAAAAATTCCTTATATGAAGACATTTATATTAATTTGTTATGGTTGAGAATAGAAGGTTATTAAAGCAACGATGATGGAGGAAGCAGGAAAAACCTTATATCTTTTTTGCTTCAGACTGTGTAGAAGAAGATGGAGTCAAAGGGAGGAATAGCAAAAGAATATGTGTAAGTGATTGCAAATGTGTGCAGGGATCTTGACCTGTCAGTTGACATGAAGTGTGTCAACTGGGATTATGAATATACAAGTAGCATAATGTAAACTGAACAAGAAATTTAGTTTTCTGTTGTTCCTTAGCAGCTATCATACATGTACTTCTTATTACTGTGTAGAAAAGTATTAATCTTTTTTCCTTGCATTACTTTTTCTTTTTGTTAGAAATTCCTCAAATTGGAGTGTAAAAGGTCTAACAGAATAGGTGTGCTTCTGTAATGATTCTAGGAAGGCTAACAGTATCTAAACTAAGAACAGTTTGGGGATCATTCTAAGTCTCAGAAAACTGATGACGCTCTTTCCTACAATTTTGCTGTTATATGCAACTTGCCTTTCATGTCTGGAGAAGAGCCCTGCAACTCGTTGCATGCAGCTGAGGTTGCCAGTATGACCCAGTGCCAGCAGTATGACTCAGGATGTGCTGGGGAGTGTGCTGGTGAAACTGGGTCATCTGCTCAGCCTCAGAGAGATATTAGAGTACTCTGAAATGTCTGCCCATGAGAAACAGTACTACACGTAAAGAAACTATTGAAAGTATAAGTTTTGTAGGTTCTTTTATTTGAGGAATCAACCCAGAAGTGAGACTAGGTGTTCTGAACCTGTGAGATACCATGTATTAAACATCTATCCATCTCTCTGTTTGCCAGTCTCCTGTTCCACACTACAGCACCTTATGTCAGTGAAAAAGGTATAACAGCATCTAAGTGTGTGGTTAAAAAACAAAAATTACATTTCTGTGTATGTGTGTGTGTAAGAGTTTATGATGTTTAATTCTGTAGTTGTGAAAGAAATGTAAAACTATGTAATTTTTAATCCATATGCTAGGCACTAGTTTAAAATTACTTAAGATTTAACCTTTTTCTAATTGTGTTAATTTGCAGATTACACTCTTTTAATTGTGTAATTATTTAAAAGAACAGGCTTAACTAGAAGATATTTAAAGTAATGATATGTTTACAGGGATCACTTAACACATTTTAATATCCTAGTTGGGAGGATTTGTGACAAAGCATTAAGAGAGAGAAAAAAATTGCTACAAAACTAATTTTTCTAATTCAGAATCTTCATTTTGAGTATGTTTAAAATATGTAATATTTGCATTTTATATTTGTGATTTGATCTTATATACATTGCTATACAAACAAAAAGGAAAATGATATACTTTAATTGCATTTATTTTTCTAGTAATTAAATTTTCTATTTTTTAAGTGAATTTTCGTTATCATAAAAACTTCTATTTTAACACCAAAGCCAAAACCATTTAGATTTAACTCTGTTTAAGATATGTGCACATTTGCGTATCTTCCTAAAAGTAGTAACTAATTGATCATTAAAAGTATTGCTTTAATATGTAGTAACATATTAATATTAATATTGGGCTGGCGGCTGCTGTGCAAGGTCTTGAGTTCAAACTCAAGTTCTGCCAAAAAGTTATATATACCATATATCTTATAATTTATATAATTTATGTGTGTATATTATAACTTTTCACTTCCTGGCTTTGTCATATTTCTTATTGGTTTTAATATGTTGCTTTTATGTTTTAGCTTAGATTATGAAACAGCTTGTTAGGATTACATTTTACTTCTGATAGCAGTCAATTCTAAGTGAGGACTGTGAGTCTTTTACATGTAAAATTTCAGAGCTTTAGTGCATAGACTTTTTGAGATATTTATTTGTATATTCTGCAACCCTTATTGCTTACCATTTAATTATCTACTGCATGTATAATCATTATAGTTGTTCAATCTGTCACCTTTAAATAAATGAGGTGTTTTATACTACTTGAGAATATTTAATACTTTTTTCCCCTCTTATTTCCATTTATTTTTAGAGTGTGCCAAGATGGAAGGAAGCCCCATACAATAAGATTAGCAATCCGTCGGTATTCATCTGAGAAGCACTATAGTCGTGAGAGTCGTCAGTGCCCTGTTCCATCCCATGTAATTCAGAAGTTAGGGACAGGTATGGACTAGTTTTCTACGAATTTATTAAACAGATTGAACTCTTAAAAAAGCAAACTTTGAATGGCAGAGTCTTGTTAACATAGTTCAGGTTGGCCCCGAACTCAAAGTCCTCTTGCCTCTGAGTGCTGGGCTCAAGGTGTGTGCCATCATGCTGGTCTTTTGTTTTTAAATAGATAATAAATGTAAAGACTTACTTAAGAATGTCTCCCAATACTGGGGTCCAGTGGCTCATGCCTGTAATCTTAGCTATTTGGGATGCTGAGATTGGGGGTTTCGTTGGCAAAAAAGTTTACAAGACCCCTTCTGAACAGAGAAAAGCTGGGCATTGGTGGCAGCCACTTGTCATCCCAGTGATGGCGGGAAATGTAAAATAGGAGGATTCTCATTCCAGGATGGCCTGGACAAAAGTGAGACCCTATCTTAAAAATAAACAGAGATGGAGGTGTGGCTCAAGCAGTTGAGCGCCTGCCTAGCAAGCATGAAGCCCTGAGTTCAAACCCCAGTTTCACAACCCCCCCAAAAAAGAATGTTTTTCAAGTTGAAAGGGAACAAAACTATAATTATGTAGTATAAGTTTTGAAAATAATGTTACCATGTCCCAAAGATGTCAATTTAGGATTTAATTCTTTGTTTAAAAATAAAACCTTAGCATGTATTAGTTTTTTGTTACTGTGACAAAATACCTGAGCAAAAGAAAGATTGAGGAGGAAAGATTGATTTTTGACTCATTGTTTCAGAGGTTTCAGTTCATGTTGGTAGGGAGGGCTGGCATAGAAAAGCAGATCACAGAAGCAAGGGAGGGGAAGGGAGGGAGAGAGGGAGAGAGATTGAGAGAATGCCTGCATTTTACTCTTTCTCCTTTCTCTTTTATTCCATCCAGGCCCTCAGCCTATGGGATGGTGCTGCCCACATTCAGGGTGGGTGTTAATTAATCCTCTTAATTAATTGGAAATGCATTCACAGACACACTCAAGGGTGTGCTTTACTAATCTCATAGATGCCTCTCAATCCAACTGACAATCAAGATTAGTCATCATATGTTAATTGTACAAAATAATAGGCTTCACTGTGGCATTTTCATACATACAGATAACACTTTGATTGTATTTATCCCCCCATTACCTACCCTCTCTTGTTCCTGCTTCTCCTGCCCCCAAAGTCCTCACCTCTTCCCAAATAGTTCATATCTTTTTTTTTACAAAATCTAGATTAACTTCTAGATCTAATTTCTTATTCTCACCAGTATAAATGATATCGGGCTCTTAATTATGATATATTTAGATATTGTCTTCTTAAACATTTTATTTAGGAAATTATGATGTGGTAACTCCCATGGTTGATATACTTATGAAACTTTTTCGAAATATGGTGAATGTGAAGATGCCATTTCACCTTACTCTCTTAAGTGTGTGCTTCTGCAACCTAAAAAAAACAAAACACTGCTAAGAAAGGGCCTATTGATTATTATTTATCACCATCGTTGTCAACAACTTCACATTCTGGCAAGCGCAGCTTTGTAAGTACGCTCCTTATTGTTCAGTTTTATGGCTACACTCATTGGATTTTTGTAGTTAAATGACAGATCTACATTTGTGTTTAAGTGACGTTATTGAGAGATTCCTTTAGATGATAATTGTTTGGATGATTACATGTTTATAGTGCCTATCATATTATGGTTGCTGGCCTTAAATATGTTGTGCTCTAAGAAGAAAACACAAGCATCACTGGGTAAAAGAGAAAACCATTTTTGGGTGCCAGTGGCTCACACCTGTAATCCTAGCTACTCAGGAGGCAGAGATCAGTAGGATCATGGTTCAAAGCCAGCCTGGGCAAATAGTTTGTGACATGCTATCTCAAAAAAAGCCATTTTAAAAAAAAAGGGCTGGTGGAGTGGCTCAAGGTGTAGGCCCTGAGTTCAAACCAGTGCTGCAAAAAAGAAAACCATTATGGAGCTTCCCTGTTAACACATTTCCTAATGTGAGAATAATATGGGAATGTGATAGATCTGCATATAAATATGAAAACGTTCCCAGAAACTGGAAATGAAATATTTTTGTCTATCAATTTATATATAAGCTTACCAGCACCCTCTCTATAATTTTTAAAAGTATTTAAATTCGCTTAGATTTGAAATTGTATTAAATTCTGATATCAATACTGATGGAATTTGCTACTGATTTTACAGTTTTAAAAATTTAGCAGTGTGCTATTAGAAGGCAGGGAACAGTCACATTTTGAAATGACTAAAATATAAGCCTGTTTTAGTAAATACTGGGTATTTTAAGAAAATCTTTTTTAAGTTGTTAATACCTAAATCTTAATTTAAAACACTTTTAAAAAAAAATTTTATCAGTCAGTATAATTTTAGTAACATTTTCATTCCTACTTAAGGTTAAAGTGAGAAGAGCTAGGCACCAGTGACTCACACCTTTAATCTTAGCTACTTTGAGAGGCTGAGATTGGTGCATCACAGTTTGAGTCCAGCCCAGTCAAAAACTACACAGACTCCATCTCAACCAGTAGCTGGGCATGGTGGCCCACACCTGTCATCCTAAGCTGTGCAGCAGGCTGAGAGCTGGAGGATTGTGATTCTGGGCAAAAAGGTTTGCGAGACCCCATCTCAGTGGAAAAAACTGCACATGGTGGCATATGCCAGTCATCCCAGCAACAGTAGAAAGTGTAAAATAGGAGGATTGTGGTCCAGGCCAGTCTGTACAAAAAGCAGGACCCTGTCTCTGAAATAACCAGAGCAAGTAGGGTTGAATGTATGTCTCAAGTGATAGAGCAACTGTCTAGCAGGTGCAAAACCCTGAGTTCAAACCCTAGTACCTTCAAAGAAAAAACCAGAATAGAATAGTATTATGAAAATAGTGAATTAATGGTCCCTTTAAATGACTTTATTTTGTGAGACCCCTTTTATTCCATTTATTAATGAAAAGTTAATACGGTATTTACTTCTTGCATTTTAATTAATCTGTAGAGTGTGAATTAAGGGTCTTTAATTATAGTGGCATTAGAGAAGTAAATGCAAGTGAAAGTACCTTTGTGTATCTGGCACTGAGTAGGTGCTCAGTTAATGCAGTGATTTGAAATTCTTCAGTTCCTTTTAATTTGTTTTGTTTTGAGGCAGGATATCACTATATTATAGTCCAACCTGGCCTGGAACTCTTTATGTAGCCCACATTGGGATGGAACTCTCTATCTTCTTGCCTTTCAGTCTCCTGAGTGCTGGGATTACAGGCCTGTACCACCATGTCCAGCTTCATTTTACATTCTTGAAGTTATTATATAGTTTACTGAAACTGTATTTGTCTTTTTTTTCCTTTTTTTTATAAAGCTCTCATGTTTTCTAGGTAAGTGCTATTTCACTTGAGTTATGCCTTCAGTCCTTTTTGCTGAGGATTATTTTTCTAGATAGGCTCTTGTGTTTTTGCCCCGGTTGACTTTGGACTGTGATGTCTCCTGAGTAGTTGGGTTACAGGTGTGTGACACCATTTCTGGCTTGTTTTTGAGACAGAGTCTTGCTGATTTTTTTGACTGGGCTTGCCTGTAACAGTCCTCCTCTTTCTACCTCCCAGGCAGCTGGGATCAAAAGCATGCACTACATGCATGTGTACATTTTGATGGTGCCTAAAACTAGAAGAGAAAGTTCAAAACTACAGAAAACTATGGAAATTGGAATTAAAATTGTTTTTAAATTTTTTTATGTAAATGTATAATAGTGTTATATCTTAAAAGTATATATTTTTTTCTTTCTGTTAAATGCTACACTTGACAAAAATTTTTGGAAAATCAGCTTTTGGAGTGCTTTATGAGTGTGTGTGTGTTTTTTTTAAACATTTAGGTGCATCACTTTTATTAGGCTACTGTTCTTTAATTGACAGAATTGGATGTTTGAGTATGTGATTGTTGAAATCCTCTCCAGGTCACTTGCTTACTTGCCTCTGGTTCAAGGCTATCTGGGAAGGAACCTCCTCCTGGAATAGCGATAAGGATAATCATTAGTGTGGCTAATTGTGATAAAGTAGTCATCTCCAGTTGTTTGGAGCTGGCTACAAAGGATTGAAGGTTGAAAGTACTTTTTCAGATAGTAGGTAAAGGTACACTTCAGCAGAAGGTAACTAAATTACTGTGTTGTCTTTGTTCTAGAAAATGAAAGACACTCATATGGAAGATGTTCCCAAAGACAAAGAAACAAACTGGGATTTTCTACCAAGTGGAAGAATTGAAAGTACAAAGACTGGGGAGTTTCCACTAGATACAAATTTTTATGAAGAAAAAGACAGTAATGAATTCCCACTCCATTCACTTCCTGAGGGTGTTGACCAAGAAGCCTTTAAGCAGCTTCCAGCTGATATTCAAGAAGAAATCCTTTCTGGACATTTTAAAGAAAAATTTCAAGGGAAAGGAGGTTTGAGTTGTCCACTGCATGCTTCCAGAGGAGTATTCTCTTTTTTTTCTACAAAACAAATGCAAGATACTCCATTAAATCCTAAAGATAATCTGTCCAGTAGCAGGCAGGTATCTTCTGTGCCTCTTTGTAGACCAGGAACATCAGGCTTGAATAGTGGTAGTTCTGGTTATCCACCTGGCCAAAAGGATTATTCCTATTACATAGACAATCGACTGAAAGATGAGCGAATGGGTCAAGGGCCTAAAGAGTCTCAAGGGTTCCACTTTTCCAGTGTCAACCCTGCTTTGTCTGTCTTCCGTTCGTTTCCAAACTTACAGAGTGAGCAACTTTTCTCCAAAAACCGCACTACAGATAGCCATAAGCAAACAACAGCAACAGTTTCTCAGCAAGAAGGACTTACAGAAAATGAAGAGCAAGTTTCTGCTGATGAAAAAATTAGGTTTCCCTCTGATATCGATCCTCAAGTTTTCTATGAATTACCAGAAGAAGTCCAGAAAGAACTGTTGGCGGAGTGGAAGAGACCTGGGTCAGATTCCACACGGCATATACATGAATAAGCTTGGGACAGCCATTGTTCTCAGAGCAGCAGTTCAACAGGCTCTTCCTGAACACGAACAGTAATGCAGAAATCCAGTGTAAAGTGTTCTAGATAAAGCAAGTACGCTTGCAGGAAGTAAGTTCTGGCATAAAGAATAAAAATATAACAAGCAATAATGTAAAAAATACATGTTCCTCTTATTCTACAGCTATTTTATATTGCTTTCCAATAAAAAGATTATCTTGGTGAATACTAGTACATTTCCCATAAATTGGGGGTAGTATGTATATGCCTGGGTGTAAAAATACATGCTCATCAAATCATTGCTATGCTAAATATAGTAAAGAAGTTTTTTTCTGAATAATATGGAATGTCTCAAGAAATTGAGTTTATTAGGGATTAGCCAAATAGGAAATCCTTATGGCTAGCTAACCCATTAAAAAATGTAAAATACTTTAGTTAAAATACCATGGTACCATGCATGAATTAGTAAATTGTCTCCCTCCCGCCTTTTAATTGAAACAGTGTGTCATGTAGCCCAGGCTGACCTCAAGCTCATAATCCTCCTTCTTCAGTCCCGAGTGCTGGGATTATAGGTATGTATCACCATACCCAGCTGCTAATAAGTTGGCTTTGAAAATAGCAAAGCAATATAAACGTTTTTTTCATACACTGAGAACCTACCACAATGCCCAGCACACAGAAAGCATGCAATAAAAATTGAATGAATGGTGTTACAATGCCAAGGTGGGGATTTGGGGTAGGAGGAGTGTATATATTGTAGAGGGAGTGGTACAAATACAGTAAAGGGAAAGGTGAACATCAGAAATGCCAGGTGACAGGGCTGTAAAAATACAAGTAATGGAAGGACATTTTCTTGTAGCCACTTTGTAGGATATAAAAGCAAGGGATTAGATTTCTTTTTTGCTTTTGCATTCCCTACATTTGGACATGAGATTTAGCATGTCATAACAAAAAATATGCCTTTTACTAAATCGGTAGGTGTTCTCTTTTATTGTTACTGCCTTTTCCTTTGCCTGACAGATTAAAAATTGGATATAAGGTTGAGAACGTTTTATAATTTGTAGAATAAAATGTTTCTAGGATATACTAAATATCCCTCAGCACTGAGAAGTCCTGTTTTCAAATTTGTAATTTTTACGGATACAGTCCAAGGAAAAGATTTTAAATGCAAAGTACACAAATGAGAATAAAGAATACCTTAAAATATTGTCTTTTAGGTCAGGAGTTTTAACTAAGTTTTAGATTCCTTATAATTTGAAAATTCCCTAATCACTGAGAAATTTTGATAGTTATTTTGGGATGATCAAAATCAACTTGAGCCAAAAGCATCAGAAATTGTTCATCATGTAACCAGTGCTATGGATTAAGGACAACAGTGTTTTTTTTTACATGTAGTATTCTAGTAAGGTAATCAAGCTCATAAAAGAAGTATTTCACTTTTTGTAAATCATTTAACATTTTTTTTTTCTTGGGCTGGGAATATAGCTTGGAGGTAAAGTGCCTAATGTATTAGGCTCTGGGTTTGATTCCTATCTCTGCAAAAGCAAAACAAAAAAACCCAATAATAATTCTTGTAATTATTTCAGAAACTTACTTGGCTAGCTAGAAAGGTTTTAAGGAAAAAAAATGATTAAGAGAAGTTAGGAAATAAAAACTGGACTGGGCCAGTGTAGAGAGAAGATAAAATAATATAAGAATGCAAGGGGTTCTATAATTTTTAGGCTTAAATTAGTCTTTTCAAATCTTTGGGTTTCAGAATTGTCAATGAATAACGATTGTGCTTTAAAGGAAATAAGAAAATAAGTTTATTTTGAGCTAAAGATCAGTAGCATGCCTGGGAACATTGATTCAAGCCACCTTGAGAGACATGGTCCAACATGGAAAAAGGTTACATGAACTTTTATAGCCACAGAAGACAGGAAAATCGTAAAACAATACGTTTTCCCATTACAGTAGTGGGAGCATCATATAGGCAGGCCATAGCAAAACTGAGGACACCTGTAGGCTTCAGATGTTATAGTGCTTAGCTTTAAGGTTAGTGGAGGCTAGTGGTATGCTGAATTAGCATTACATTCCCAAGAAGTTGATCTGTTAGTCATGAGAATGTTTGGTCAGATACTAACGTTAAAGATAAGGTGACTTGCCTATTAAAAGGCCTGAGATAACCCGTGATAATTTAGGTTCTTCACAATAAGGATGTTCTAGTCAGCAAAGGTCAGTCTGCAGAATCTTTAACATAGATATAACTTTTTCAGAAAATTTCAATTCACAGAATCAGCTTTTATCTTTTATTTCTCCTTTTAAGATTATTTCTGTTTGGTGTTCTGCAGATTTACTGTAATGTTTGGTACTGTGAGTTCTTTAATATTGGTATATGATGTCTTCATATATCTTGCAGTTCATCTTCTGTAGAATTCTCAGCCACTAGCTCTTAAAATGCTGATTTTTCTGTCTTCTAGGACTCAGATGCACAATTGATAGACTTTATCGTTCAGTGTCTCCTGATTTCCCATGTTTTTCATCCTATTGTTTCCCTGCTGCATCTTGGATAATTTTGTCAGCTCTGTCTTTCTATTCACTAATTTGTTCTCGGCAGCATCTTTCCTGCTATATAAAATTTTAGTGATGGTTTTAACTTCAATAATACCATTTTAAATATTTTTCTCTTTTGGTGGAACTGGGGTTGAACTCAGGGCCTCTCACTTGCTATAGGCAAAGTCTACCACTTGAGCCACACTCCCAACCCTTTTTGCTTTAGTTATTTTTCAAATAGGGTCTCAGGTTTTTGCCCAGGCTGGCCTTGGGCCTTAGTCCTCCTCCCTTTGCCTCTCAAGTATCTGGGATTACTGTGAGTCAGTGTGCCTGACCAATATTTTTCATTTGATTTTTAAGTTCTGGGGATGCTTGCTTGCTTGTGCTTGCTAGGCAAGTGTTCTGCCACTTTAGCTATGCCCTCTGCCCCTCTCCCCCTTATTAGAGACAGAGTCTTAACAGATACCTTTACCTGGGTTGGCCTCAAACTCAGTCCTCCTGCTTCTGTCTGTCTAGCAGCTGACAGATGTGTGCCACCATCCCTGGTTTCACCTGATTCTTTTTAATATTCAATGTCTGTTGTCAGTCCATTTCTAATTTCCAAAAACTCAAGTACTTATTTTATATTCTAGTCCTGACAGTTTCAGTATTTTAAGTCTTTATAAACCTAAATTTATTACCGTGTACCACTTGTGACTTTTCTTTAGTTTTCCATTTATTATGTGTTTTCCTCTACTGATTTGAACATTCTATTACATGTACTTTTGATTACCCTTTAAAATTTAACATGGCTAGATATATAAAAATGATAAACATCTCTACCCTCTTTCCAAACAAGATAAAGATCAATGTCGAAATACGTAATTCTAATCAAAGTCCTCTAGTTATTTAATCTCCAAATTGGATATGATGAGTATTTTATATAATCAGTGTTTAGACTTGACCAAATGTTTATCTTGGGAGAGGTGCTTTTTTTTTTTTTTCTTTCATTTCAGATATTCTTTCTAAATACAATTATTTTTACTTTGAGTCATGTCTTTAGAACTACGGATTTAGGACTGACCTCTTGGGACTGTTTATCTTTTTGGAGAGCTGCAGTTTTTATTAGATGTCTAGCTATAGTTTTTCTTTTTTATTTTTTTAAATCATGCTTGGAATTTAGGTCTTCCCTGAATCTTCAGATTTATGTTTTTCATCAAATCTGGATTATTTTCAATGTTAAAAAAAGAACTTCTTTGAGCTGGGTTCCAGCAGCTCATGCCTGTTAATCCTAGCTACTTGGGGGGGCTGAGCTATGGAAGATTGCAGTTTGAGGCCAGCGAAGGCAAATAGTTTGCTAGCCCTCATCTCCCAAATAACCAGAGCAAATGGACTCAAGGTGTGGCTCAAGCAGAATAATAACATGCTTTGCAAGCGGGAAGGCCTGAGTTCAAAACCCCAGTCTCTCCAAAACAAAACCAAACAACCCTAAACTTTGGTGGAATCTATATACAGAAATGTTCACAAATGTAAATGAATATAAGTAAATACAAGCAAGAACTATATAACTATACAAGTCAAGAAATGAAACATAAAGTTATCAGAAAATCCAGGATTAGAAGGAATAGAATGGAGGCTAAATGTCCAGCATACAGACTCTATGAAAATTATTTGTTTCCATGTTATAAACACATATATGTATAAACTATTTGCATGTCTATGTAAGGAAGTTACTAAAAAAGTAGTTGTTTTGTAGTAATTTCTTTTTGTTTCAAATTATAAACTTAGATTGTAATAAAATTCAGCACAAGCTGATTTACTTAAACCAAACTTGGTGGATAAATATCAACTGAGGTAGAAAAAATTGAGATGTTAATAGTAGAATATTTCTTTAGGTTTAGCTAGACTATATGTTCTAGTTCAGTGTCTTTAAACACCCTAGTAGTGGTGAAAAGAATTTGGAGGCATATCCTTCCAGTATCCATATGTTTACTAAGATGTTCAGCCAAGTTTAGTGTTTGGCTTTGAATGTTGAATAATCAAATACCTACCCATTGTGGCATCCCACGAAATTGTGCGTAAAATTATGTGGTCATGTAAGTTTCTATCATACCTAAAATGTAATGCACATTAACATCTAAATATTCATTTCCTTATATAAATAAGCATTGTAAATGCTACCCGATAAAATATTATGACCTTCTTAGTTCATCAGTTTAAATTTTAAATGCAAAGCAAAATAGTGAAATAATCAATGATTGTGAAACCTATTAACTTTATGCATAAAACAGCAGTTTTGTCAGTTAATATCAATATTGAAAAAACAATTTATAATGAAACAAATATCTTTTTGAGTCACAAAAAAATGGTTGTTTTGAGTCATTCAGTAATAGGTAACTGCCAGAAAATCTGCTACCTAGAAGCATAGAGCTGCACAACACAATGTGGTATTGGACGTTTTGGGGCAAGACATAGCTGAGAAAACTCAGTGAAGAGTGGAATAATGGTGTGGAAACTGCTTTAAGAAGCTATAAGGAAGCATTTGATAAAACAGCATCCTGTGGGTCCCTAGAAAACAGAAAATGTACCTAATGTTTGGTTTGGTTTCCAGGCAAAATATAGAGAGTGCCACCTGGTGGCATTTAAGTGCGTAGGATTATAGGATTAAAGCATTATTGGAGTTCCTCCTCCTTCTCCTCCTCCTCCTCCTCCTCCTCCCCCTTCTTCTTCTTCTTCTTCTTCTAAAATAAAGAGCCTGTCAAGGTAATGTAAATGTTGCAGGAAAGTAAATGTTGTCTTCAGCTTTTTCAACAAAAGTCTCAAAGACAAGCATTTCAACTCAAGGCTGTGACTATAAGATACTTTGTTAAGACATGTGAGAGGGTTAAAATGGTGCTGAGTAGACTTTCTGGAGTAGACAAAGCTTAAGGGTGTGGTCCTCCAGAAGTCTGATCCAAAAGTAACAGTAGGACTGGAGGCATGGCTCAAGTTGGTGGAGTACTTGCCAAGGCCTTCAGTTCAGTACTGCCAAAAAAATAAAAAGTAACAGTCAACATCTAAGTATGCTGATAACAATTGCACATGTGGCTCTTGGGTCTATAGTGGGCCATAGGGAGTGGCATAGCGGAAACATAACAGTAGGGCTGTGGACATAGCTTAGTGTGCTTCCTAGCATGAGTGAAGCTCTGGGTTCTATTCCCAAGCATCTAAAGGGAAAAACAAAAAACAAACCCAAGTGCCTGAACTAAAAGCTCAAGCTGTAAAAATGTCTCTGGACCTCTAGCTTTCTTTAGGTAGGAAGCAGACTTGAGAAAGTTGTTCAGCTGCTAAAAAGAATTATTTCTTTGTAAATAAAGAGGGTGACAGGAAAAGAAGGATATTTCAGTGTTACCCAGATTTGTGAACTGTGCATTAGAGCAACTACAAAGAGCAGAATTGGGTCTAATCATGGAACATTTTTCTATTGCCAGAATGGCAGGTCTGATGGGATATCACTCACTATGTGGTTCCCATTCTTCCTTGTATTGCGGTTATCTGGTCCTTATTTATTATTGTATATTGGATGTGTGTGTTTATTTATTTTATTTTTTGATATATATTTTTATATAATATATAAAATAAAATTATTATATTTATATAATACATTATCCTTTACCCCTTCCTCCTATCTTTCTTTTTGATTCTCTGTCACTATGAGGTGACATGCTCCTAACACCGTGATGTTTCACCTCATCACAGGCACACAGCAATGCAGCAAGCTGACCGTGGACTGACAACTCTGAAACTGTGACCCTTTTAAAAATAAACCTTTCCTCCTTTTCATTTGTCTCTCTCAGGTATTTGTTACAGTGATGAAAAAGTCTGAGTACTACCAAAATACATGATATCTGAAGGTAATATTTTGCCTAACTGTAAGGGACAAATGTGAGGGAAAATAAAATGGCAGAAATATTCCTGAGAACAAATGACAGAAATAATCCTGGGGATGTAATGGGACAGATGGGAGAAGTAACTTTATTTTAGATAAAGGAGACAGGAAGGCATACTTAAAAGCAAAATATTTAGGGAGATGTGAGAAACCAGCTTCACACATAGGTATAGAAAGACAGCAGTTTTTCTTCCTAGATAAGGGAAACAAGATAAAACACTCCTAAAAGCAGATGTCTAAAGGGATGAAATATAGACCTCTAAAGGAGAGCAACACAGCAAACTTTCCCAAGATATACAAAAAAGGGTCTCACCAAAATGATGAGTGGTTGTCATAAAATGTATGTGATGGGTTTCAGAGACAGGATGGAGTAATGAGACCCTCTTGGAATGTCCAACCTGATAAGGATGGAGGCAACTAGATGGTTGGGCTTCACCATAAGTTAATTAGACAGCCAATTATACCCACACTGTCAAAAGTAGAGTTGGGAGGGGTGCCTAAGTTAGCCTCTACATAATCTCATGAACTTCAGTCATTCTTCGGCTTAGCTCTTTCACTAAGTTTCACCCATTAGGGTACTTTGCTATCCTTCCAATAAACTTTGGGCTTGCTTTACTCTTAACTCCTGGCCTAGCGTGGACTTGCTTTAACTCCTAATTGCTTATCTGGCACCTTCAGTCATCGACTGCACCAGGATAATAACGGGAACAACAATCCAATCCGGTATCATAACTACAGTATAATATTATGATTACGAAATCAATATTGATATTAACAGCATCTTTTTATTTAGATATCACTAGTTTTACATGCACTCTGTGTAATTTGATATAATTTTATCATGTATGTTAATTCATGTGACTATCACCACAATCATGACACAGAACAGGCTTATCATAAAAAAGCTCCTTCCTGCTACACTTTCAAAGCTAAAACCACCTTTCTTCTTGCCCCCTGTCAAATCCAGCAACTACTAATTCTGTTCCTCATCTCTATCATCTTGTCATTTCAACAATGTTACATAAATTTAACCTTCTGAGATTGGCTTTTAAAGTCACTATGATTCCCTTGAGACCATTCAACTTACTGTGTGTCTCAGTTGTTTTTTTCTTTTGCTTAGTATTCTTTCATGTACAAATTACAACAGTTTATTTACCCACTAAAAGATCTGTGGGTTGTTCCCAGTCTTGGGGTATTTGGAAAAAAGCTGCTATAAACATTTGTGTATAGATTTTTGTGTGAACATTTCTGTGGGATAAAGAGTGCAACTGCTGGGTAATAGTAAGCAAGTGTTTACTTACATAAGACAATGCTGTACCTTCCAGAGTGGCACTGCCATTTTTCACTTCTACCTGTAATATGTAAAGTGATCCAGTTTCTTTATATCCTTGCCAACACTTGATGTTATCATTACTTTAAAAAAATGTAGCCATTCTGATAAAGGTATTGATATCTCATTTTTATTTTTATTTGCATTTACCTGAAGACCAATGTTGTTGAACATCTTTTCATGAGCTTATTTGCCCTAAATTCTTTTCAATGAAATGTCCATATCTTTGGCCTATTTTCTAATTGGATTGTTTTTATACTATTGAATTCTGAAAGCGCTTTATATATTTTAGATACAAGTCCTTTCTCAGAAATGTCTTGTAAATATTTTCTTCCACTCTATCACCTGCCTTTTCATCCTCTTCACAAGGACTTTCACATGGCATGCATTTTCATTTTGATCACTTTTTTCTTTTAAGAATCCTACTTTTGGTGTCATGTTTAAGAACTCTGTGTAACTGTAGGTTATGAAGGTTTTCTACTTACCTTTTTATGGTATTATGCATTGCATTTAACTCAAAGTTCCATTTTTGAGTTAATTATTACATACTGTGTAAGGTTAGGTCAAAGCCTCTGGATATTTGGTGCTCCAACATCATTTGTGGAAAGGCAATTCTCCATTGAATTGCCTCTGATCCTTTTTTAACATCAAACATAGCTTACTATACTTATGAGGATAATATACTTTTACCCATATGAATTTTCTTCTTTCTTTTCTGAAGAACTCTGGATCCAATTTAATTGTCCTTTATAGCAGGTAGCCTGTTAGCTAGAGTGTAAGGGACAGATGGGGTTTATCACCACTCTGCAAAAGGAGAGCATTGACTGACTCATTGAAGATGGGTGAGGTGGCAGTTCAGGTTCCTTTCTGGTCCTGCTGATAGTTTTCTAGCAAGAGTGGGACACTGATATGCATATCTGTGTTGCCTCCCAGTGCAACATAAGTTCACCTCCCCAGAGACCCTAGTGATAGCAGAATAGACAGGGAGGTAGAATGCTGAGTCTCTGTTCTGCCGCTTTGTCTCACCTCTTGATGCCCAGGTGGGAATGGAGGCTCAGACCAATGTCATTACTCATGTATTCTAGTGGAGTTATTGCTATTACTATTATTCATGCTGGGGATGAAACTTGGGGTCTTATTAATGCTGGGCGATTGCTCTGTCACTGTCCCATTCTTCTAATGTTTTTGTTCTGATTTTTATGTTCAGGTTTCCTATAATTCTCAATATAAGTAAGAGAAGGAAAAACAACTTAAAATGTCTCACTATGTCTGTAGCTCAGGCTGGCCTTGAACTTGCTATTTAGCTCAGGCTAATCTTGAACTTTCAATCCCTCTGCTTCAGACCCTCAAGTGTGGAAATTACAGTTCTGCACCACCACACCCAACCCCATATTTTAACCTTTAATGCTGATCTCTGGCTAAATTTGCTTTCTAATTAAATGATCTGAACATGGAACATTTTCCAGGGACAAAAGCAAAAGATAGAAGTGAATTAATAACCCTAATTATTTAACATCATTATGTGATATTAAAAGCTACATTTAATGCTGTTTTTCACCAGGGCACAAGAGTACTGTCTAGAACCGTCTAACAGAACTTGTGCACATTGACTTCTACAGCACATTCACTCGTAGTCTGCATGGGCTGAAATCTCTCATGATTTAGTTGAATGATGACCTTTGTGATGTTCACGTGCTGATGGGGCTTTGTGTGCCTTTATTCCATCTTTTGCATTGAGAATGAAGCTTACCAAGTTGGAAGGCATAGTTTTTTCAATTATTGATGGGGTCAATTTTCCTCTCATTTCTGTCTGCACAAACATCACTAGTTTGGAATATGCTGGGTTTCTGTAAGCAAAGGAAGAGTTTAAAAAAAGATAGAAGAATGTATGCATGTATGTATGTTTTAGTTTTTTTGAGACAGGGTCTCAGGGTCTTGCTATGTAGTCCAGGCTGGCCTCAATCTTCCTGCCTCTGCCTCAGCCTCCTGAGTACTAGAATCACAGGCTTGCACTACCATTCCTGGCTACATGTACAAATTTTTAAGTCTTAGACTTGATGGTCACAGAAAAGAAATTTACTTTTTTTCTCTTTTCCTTTTATTGTTGTGTTGGGGGTACACTGTGGCATTTACAAAAGTTCTCACAATATATTAGATATATCATACATGAATTCACCTCCTCCATTATCCTCCCTCCCCCTATTCCTGGAGTAGTTTCAACAGGTCTCATTTTTCCATTTATATAAGAAAAGAAATTTAAAACTTAAATTTATATTATTTTTGTGGAAAATTAAAAAGTAATTTTTAAAAAGTCTTCAAAGTCTAAAACCTATTCCACTGGGTACAATTATGTGAGGGAGAAAAATTAAAAAACTCAAAAGAGAAAAGGAATGATATAAAATTTCTGACTGATGAAGGTTTTATGTATTTTGTAATAAAAGATATAATGGTGGTTTCAAGTTGTTAGGATATTTAGATTCCATTGGATACATTTTTAAGGGTGATATAACCATTTTTAGAAAACAGATCAATATTTAGAGTATGTTATTTACAACATGTACCTTTTTTATCAATTTAATCCCAGGAAAAAGATTTTAATGTTGATTTAAAAACATGTTAAGGGAATATGGTTTTATGTAATTCTTTTAGTGTATATGAAGACCAATGAACCAACCAATTGTATGAGAGTTCATTTTATCCTACCCTTCTCTATGGAGAGTTTAGACTATTTTTACAGTGCCTGGAATGCTGGACTGGGAATTTGTATGGTTCTAAATCTTGATTTGAGTTTACTCATATAAGTGTTTCATATTTACCAGAGAGTAGTTTAATGCTGACAGTATGTTTCATAAGTGTTCTGCATGACCTGCTCAGAAGTACTGGCTGTCCAAAATGTTGGGCTGTATGGAAGGGGAAGGTAAAGAAGTATCTTTTACTTTATCTATGAAAAATGAGACTATTTTTAATCCAGCAGGATGTGAAGCAGAGTTACCAATGTAGGTGAGATACCAAGGTGAGAGCTTTTCTCCATTTTGTTTTTGCAATAGAAAGGAAAAGATTGACAAGTGAAGAAGGGTGCTTGTTCTGTGAAGCACACTAGAGTATGTAACTTTCCAGCTAGTGTTCCTGTCACAACTGACTGTCCTCCTTGGAGCATTAATCCATTTGCTTTGTTCTCTCCTGCTGTGGAGAATACAGTCTTTGCCATAGTTTCAAAATTGACAAATGGGTGGGAAGACCATATATTGTTACTATTATTATCATCATGTGCACCAATGGTTCTGTCCAGTAATGGGGGAAAAAAGAGGTTTTTAAGTTCTCTAATTCAGTAGAGAAGATATTAAAAAATATAGGTTTGAAATTTAATTTATTTTGGTTTCCTTCAAATACATTTTTTCTTGAATTATGAGTTTATATCTCACCAACACAAAGTTTTATACCTATTGTTATATGCTAACAAAAATCATTTAACATAAATTAAAGCTTAAGGAATTCATGAAATGATATACATTGAATTAAGACTACATGCTTCTCCAGAATCTGTATTGCTGCTTTATATAGTAGGTTGGTCACCTGTAGACAGTAACTCAGTTTTGATTTCTCTAGTTTTTATGTGAATGTATCAATTTGATGTCTAATTCTTCTATCTGCTTCCAGCAGGTAGTCCATTGGAAAGAATTCTTCCAAGGTAAAGCATTCATTACTAATAAACTCAATTCAAGTGAAATTTATTTTTAATTCACAAAAGTTCCTTAATAATTTATAGAAGTGAATAATGGAAAAATACAAACATCAGGGAAAGTTTAACCATGGGGAAATGTTTGTGTGTGTTTGATTATTACCAGAAACCTCAAATCATATTTAGTAATAAATTACTTATTCTGATTATGCTTAAGATGAAAACAGATAGGCTTAGTGGCCCATGCCTATAATCCCAGCTACTCAGGAGGCAGAATGCAGAGCATTCTGAGTTTGAGGCAAAATTAAGCCTGAGGAAAGTTAGTGAGACCGTATCTTAAAAACAAAATGTAAGCAAAGAGGTTGGAGCATGGCTTAAGTGGTAGAGTGCTTGCTTAGCATGTATGAGACCCTGGATTCAATCCCCAATACTGGAAAAAGAAAAAAAGAAAGATGAAAACAAATATAAAAAGTTGTTTTAAAAATTGCATGTAGGGCAGCTTTTTTTCACTCAACAGAATTCCGGCACATATTTCTACTGATGATTTGGGAATTCTGAACTAAATTATAAATTGAATTAAAAAAAATCTGTTGAAGGGTCTGGAGATATCTCAGTGGTAGAAAGCTTGTCTAGCATGTGCAAGGCCCTGAGTGGGATCCCCAGCACTGTGAGAAAACAAAACAAAACAAATAAACTGAAAAAACCCTGTTAAAATAAGTAAATACAATAACACTTACTCTTTCAGAGGTGAACATACATAGCCACAAGGATGATTGTAACCACGGATACAATTTGAAGATGAAGAATATTCTGGGAGATCCACACTTTCAGCTAAAGCAATTAAAAAAATTAAATGAAACTTAATCCACAAAATCAGAAAGTCTATTTCCAGTAGCATATTTAAAAAATGTATGAGATAGCACTGAACACAGTTACCAGTATTAACATTCACGTTAACATAGCTATATACATTTGCACTAGTATTTCTAAAGATGCTATTACCTTTTATATAAGAAAGACTGTTGCAAGTATCATGTGATTGCTGTCTCAAATTTGAAGCAAAAGAAGAAATCACATCAAAAATACTATTTTATTAGGATCATGAGTTCACTGATTTTTTTTTGTTAATCTTTTACATAAAATATATGAAGTGGTTAGATAGTTTAAACTACCCTATTCTGCTAATTCCATGTAGCCAAATTCAAAGTATAATTAAAACTTAGTAAAAATTATTGTAATAATCACACAGCATTTCATATTGTGAATGCAGAGGGAGGTGATTTGATTCTGATTAAACTTATGACAATTATATCTATTCATTCTCAAAGCATTTTTTAAAGATATATTTGCTTATTCTGTGCAACTAATCCTGCTCTTGTCAAGGAAGATGGATTTTCCTCTATTATTTTAGCATAAGCAGCCAGTTCTGTGGGCAATAGAATGTGAAACACTAGCTTCGGAGACTAATGTGGTTGAATGAATTTTCCATTATTGTATCACTGTCTTAACACAGCTCTATTATATTGGCATAATGGTACTAACAAAAATTATATTAAAATGTTTTTCTGTGTTTAAACTATAGAGGTTATACATGCATCTCTTTAAAAATATCTGTTATAGTCTACAAATGGGTATGGGGTTTTTGTGAGGCACATTGTGTGAAATGAAAAAGCCCAGAGTTTTAAATTCTGGTTCAGCTATTTATTAGCTATGCAACTTAATTTCTTCACTTCTTAATTTCTGTGAACTTCAGTTTTCTCATTAGTGAGATAAGGCATGTGAAATGAAAAATATTTAACTCAAAGTAAGGTGTAGAGTAAGCTAAAAAATAAACTCTAAGAAGAAGGCTATGAATATTAATGAAAAACTTAGTCAACGGAAATTTCTTAGAGTAATTTCAGTAGTGATTTGTGCACTGAATGACTAGTAACCTTTACTTGCTGATTTTAACCTCTGTGCTTTTATTTTTTTTTAACTTCTAGTATTCTAATACAGAATAGAAATGGTCTGCTTTAAAAAATGTGGAAAATAATAGATCTATGATTCAGACAAGGCTGTATTTTGTAATGTAGGCAGTGAATATGTTTTGTGTGTTTTCATTTCAAAAGTGAGACAATTAAAAATATATGCAAGTTATGAACTTCAGCTTCATTGGTCTGCTGTAAGACAAAGAGAACAGGCTGCGAGTGAGAGGGCTGACTCAGTCTGGCCTGTGAAACTTAGAATACTTTAGTCACCTCAGAGTAACTGAAACAATTTTGGGAAATAAAAGTACAACTGGATTGTCTCTATCCTTAGTACTTTGCAGTACAAAAAAAATTCAGATAGGAATGGTGAGATTAAATCAAATTTTAGAGAAAAATGGGAATCTTTGCCTCTGTTCTACCAAAGTCCTTTTACAATGAATTTTCTTAAGTTGGAGTCAAAAGATGCTTATGATATAAAACAGTATGTTTTGAGTCAATAAGGCAGGTTACCAAATGATTACACATTTACACTTTACAGAGTGAAAAAACTGCAGAAACGGTACTAGGGATATATCAAAACCTACAGTTTCTAAAAGAAATATGGCACACTTGTGTAAAGACCTATATAGTGGAAATTTCTTCAATAGTTTTATCAGTTACTATATGTATACATTTAGTCTAAGCACTTTAAGTATAAAATTATATATCCCCAAACTAATTTCATTTCATAGAACTTAAAAAAATGATATATCTTGAAGTTTTAGCTATAGACATCCTATATTGAGTCTCTCAGGGCTTATAGTGCAAAAGTTCAGGGGATAACATAATCATTGAATATTATATAAGTGACATTTCCTGAATGAGGTAAAATATCTGGCATGTCTACATGAAACATATACTTGTTTGTTGCACTGAATAAATTAAAAAAAACAAAGGAAATAATTGAAAAATATAGTTTCTTCTAAAGTATTAAAGGGAAAATTTTATTAATGACTCATAGTAATCCCAAAAGGTAGGCAAAATGTTTCAACTTACAACTGACAATGTCCATATTCCCGTCACAGTGCTTGATGTATACTAAGTCGATAAAGTCTCGGGGAGCAATTGAGCCCAAGGCAAAACTTTGTGTAATGGTATGACATATAAATGTGTCCTGGAACAGATCAAACCATAAGATTACAAAAATAATTTAATGCCTACCATTTGTATTGTTTCCCAAAGAATTTCACTGCACATTTCATTACTATTTGGAAAAAGCAAGGCTTTTAATTTTTAAGACTATATTATGAAATCAACTTGTATTTCAGTGTTAAAGGAATATAGAGTTACACTTATGAGTACAGAAAATTCAGGGATTAAACTTAAGATCATCTACTCTTTCAATTTTTATTTGGAGAAACTGAAGCTTAACATATTAAATCATATGATTGGGTCTTGAATGGCATTGTTGCAAGTTACTCTTCCTCTCTGCTTCTGCAGATAAGATCCCCTAGCCAAACAACCCTCCTTATCAAAAGTACCAGCACCATTACTGCTTATCCCTGTTCAGTGGATTTCAGTTCTCTATTGGCCCATGGAATTATTCCATCGCTTCCTCCTACAGTACTGGGGGTCACCTCACCTCACCCTCTTGATACTACAAAGGCTGCCTCCCATAGCCTCTGGTTAATCTGTTCCCATGTTGTCCTGTGTGACACTGTTTGTCCTCTTATGCTAATTTATTATTAATGCCTAATAAACCATTATCAGTCTCCTTTGTACACTGCCAGGTACTGTATGTTTGGCTTCCCCTATAAGCCTAGAGTGGGAATTCCCCCTCTATTGGGTCAATAGGAGACAATTAAAACCTACTCCTGGAATTGAATACTATAAATATTAATAGGAAGGTAAAGTGATGCTGTTCAGAGATACTGTGGAATACTGACTGGAAAGGGTATGCACTTGGAATTTGGAATCAGGAAACCAGTAACCAGGTACAAATCCTAGTTCTATCACATTTGCTGCAGTATCCTTGGGCAAGTCACTATCTCTCTCAATCTGTTTTCAAGTTTTTTGATGCAGAGTGTAGTATCATTATTATAACAGCTGACTTGTAGTAATAGCAGAAATATCTGAACTGCTAATGGAACTGTATGATTAGTTTATCAAAGTGAATGTTTAAATCTCAAAAAAGTCATGGACATATTTTTTGTTTATTTGTTTGTTTTGATAAACTTCAGGGCCTCTCCACAAAATGAAACTGGTTTACTTTTTCAGCCCTTCTTAGAACCTCTCTCCCCTTCCAGACTTTAAGATCAGTTTAATAAAAGTAGGTGAAATTACAGTTCTAAATGGATAATAAGGTGATCGGCATAAATGTGGAGCACATTGGTTTTCTCTTCATTAAACATTGCCAAGCTCTCTCTAACCTCAACCCTCTGCATCTGCTTTTTCTCTACTACTGTCTCCCAGATCTCTCTCAACTCCATTTTGTGAACATGTTTATCACGTAGGCCTTTCCTGCCTAATTAGCTATAAAGTGACTTCTGTTCATTGACAAAGGCACAGGTCAGCAAGAGACTGCCCTATTCAGAAGATGATATGTATTTACAAACACAATAAAGCCAATTAGAATTAAAACTGTTAACTAATATGGATTGAAGTTTTAAGGCTTTTAATAAAAATTTTAGCAAGGCATAATGGCGCATTTGGAAGGCTGAGGCAGGAGGATAGCAGGCCAGCCTGGGCAACTCAGTGAGACCCTGTCTCAAAATAGAATTAAGAAAGGGCTAGGGGTATAGCTCAGTGGCAGAGCATTTGCCTACCATGCATAGGCCCTAGGTTCAATCCCCTGTACTGCAAAACCAAACCAAACCAAACCAAACTTCACCTCAAATCTATAAAATGTAATGTGTATACATCCCATAGTTTTATAGTTTTCATAAACTTAGCTCACTAAGGTATAAAACTAAAATTAATACAGAAAGTCTACTATTAAACAAGTTACCGAGTCAATCTTGTGTACCATATTGTATGCTTTCAATGATTTATCCCATGTAACTCTGTTTCCAGGTTGGTAGAGGAAATCAGATAGTTTATCTGATGATTCTGGAATTATCCCTTCAGCACGGTATCTATAATTAACAAAATAAGCAAAATTCTAAACTTAAGGGTGAAAATATTCTGCTATCAGTTAAAGGTAGATTAATTTAACTAGTAATGAAAACTTGAGGGTAATACAGGCTGAGTATCCGTTATCTGAGGTATTCTTGGCGATGTGACCCAAGTCTAAATACAAAATTCATTTATGTTTCATATATACTTTATATACATATCCTGAATATAATTTTATACAATATTTTGAGTAATTTTATGCATGAAACTAAGTTTCATGAAATGGAACTTTCTACTTGAGGTGTCATGATAATATTGAAAACTTCCAGATTTTGGAGCATTTCACTTTGCTCTTTTTATTTATTTATTTATTGGTGATACTGGGGTTTGAATTAAGGGCCTCACAGTTGCTAGGCAGGCGCGCTACCACTTGAGCCACTCTAGCAGCTCTCTATACCAGCATTTCAATACACTAAAATTCAATGGGAAGTAGCAAAGCTTATTTAAATATTCATTGCAGTGATTTACTTCAAAATTTATTTTCTATAGCTTTTGTTTATAATGTTTCAATAGCTGTCTTTTACAGGGTGCTTTTATTTAGAATTATTCTAAAATCTTTTTACTAAGATTTTACCTGTTGTATTTATCACAAGCCAATAGTAATTGTCAGAAGTTTGTGTGGTTATGCAGTATCTCATGGTTCTAATTTTTAATTTAAGATTTTAATATGTTCTACAGAACAGATCAGTAAACTTTTCAGTTGCAGTCCAGATGGTAAACAATTTAGGCTTTGTAGGCCATATGGTCTCTGCTATACCTATTCAACCCTGCTTGTGTAAGTAAAACAGCAACAGATAATATATAATGAATGGGTATGGTGGCTGTATTATAATTAAACATTTATAGACACTGACTTTTGAATTTTATTCATTGTCACATGTCAGGAAATATTGTTTTGATTTTGTTTCATCCATCTGGGAAATATGAAAGCCATTCTTAACTTTAAAGCTATGCAGAAACAGGAAACAGACCAGATGTATCCTGTCAACACAGTGCCAACCACTGGCCTGGAGGAATTAGCATTGTCTTGAATTAGTGTAAATTCTAGCTTAATGTCAACACCTTGGGCAGTCAACTAAAAAATGGTGACAAAGTATGTTGAGTTTATTTTTTGTACTTGAGTTTCAATACATTAACTTTGCATTTGGTAGCCAATATAATTAACTAAAATCCACAGATTCATTCAATCATATTTATTATGTCTCTCTGTGACAGGTACTGCACTGGTGCAACAGATACTGCAATGAATAAGAGTGATTTATTTCTAGTTTGTTTCCTACCCAAGTTCCTATTCTTTTAAGTTTAGATGCTAATAAAGGAGATATCATAAATAACAAAACAAAAAATGAGGTAAATTCCATACAGTGAAAGTGATATGAAGAAGATAATGGTAGAATAGTGACATAAACGGGCAGAGTGTATATATGTGGAGACTTTGGCCAGGTAGCCAGGAAGGTCACTTTGAGGAAGAGACAGTGAAGCTGAGTCCTTGACAACAAAAATAACATTAGCATTGGGAAGAATTGGACAATTTAAGCTCCCCCAGGTTTACCCCAATTTGATGGTAATCTCACTCTCTTCTCAGTCCAGGTTGGGGAACATAAACTTTCAAATGAGGCACACCAACCTGGGCAACATGTTCAGATTGATTTCCTTTGTAAGAAGAACCTTAATACCTGCAATAACTGATTTAAAATAATATACAAAATATATATTTGTTTATGTATATAAAATATATATGTTGACAGATATAAGTGGCACAAATCCACACTGTCTTTCTGTACATAAGCATAGAAAATTTGGAAGAATTGGTGGGTTGTGCTTGAGAAAACATTCATGCTCAATTGGGTTTGTGTTCTTTTTATCAATTTTAACTTTGAAACAATTAAGAGAGTTGGCCAAAACCAATGCGCAGTTAGCAACTCTAAAATGGCCCCCAATAACACCCACTTCATGGTATTGACATCCTGCCAATAAGTAATTCCCCCCTTTTTGAGTTAGGGCTAGATCTAGTGATTCACTTCTAACAAGTAAAATATGGCAAATGTGATGGAATGTAATTTATGAGATTAGGTTTCAAATAGACTTTGACTTCCATTTTACTTGCTCTTGCTCTCTCCTTGATCTTTCATTATGAGGTAAATAAACTGTCATATTTTAAGAGTGTTATTGAGAGTCCTATAGGTCAAAGTAATAAGGAAGGCCCCAGCCAAGAAGTGTCAAGGAACTGAGGACCTCTGTTGAGCAATCCTATGAGGAACTGAATCTGCTGATTACCAGGTGAGTAAACTTGGAGCAGAGCTTCTTTTAAGTGCATTTTCATATGAGCACTAAGCCCCAGCTGACATCTTGGGTATAATCTCATGAAATTCCTTCAGGCAGAAGCATCAAGCTAACCTCTGCCTGGAGTCCCAACCCACAGAAACCATGAGATAGATGTCTAAGTTGCTAAGTTATGGAGTAATTTGTCATTCATCAATAAATAACTGGTATATGATACATATAAATTTCACTCAAAATGTAATAAGAAATTCCAATTATTTGTTTAGTTTTGCAGAAAAGATAAGCATAAACTATCTTTTATAAAAAGTTTCAATAAAGCTTTAAAGCAGCCTAAGGAAGGCTAGTCTACATATAGTACTTTGCATATAAAAACTCAAGGAGTATTTGTAGAGTAAAATGAATGAGTTCCAAGGTTTCTTTGATGCATAGGTTACTGTCTACATTGGCCTCACCTATAAGATATTAAAAGTCACACTATTCAAAATTTATTTTCCTAGTGTGCCTAGTGTGGAGAGTGGATTAGAGCCTATGAGAACTGGACACAAACTAGGCGAGATGCAGCTCACCTGCTTTTGGGAGATTGGCACAGCCCCTGAAGCAGAACAGCTGTGTCTCCTAAATTGTTTACATTCAGAGAAGCAGGAAGGCAGTTTTCTCCTGTTACAACATCACGCCCCTTCCCACGGCTCCACCCTGTTTATCACTGGGTATAAAAGGCCTGTGGAAGGAGGGCTGGGGCTTTTGCTTTTTGCCTTTTAGGTTGGGCTTTTGCCTTTGGCTTTGGCTTTGAGCTTTTTGGTGTGGGAAGCTTTTGGAAGGGAAAAGAATTACTGAAGGAAAAGAATGGCTGAAGAGGGGTTGATAGAAAGTCTGCACCAAGAACTTTAACATAGGCCTTAGAAAAACTAAACTAAAGAAAGAACTTTACAGTGCAAGTCTTAGGACCAAGACTTTAAGAGTTATGCATATGCAGTTTGTAGGCATGGTAGTTAGCAAGTCTGAGCGCCAAAGGTATAAGAAAGTTAAAGAGAGATGGGACAGTGCAAGCCTGGGGGCAAAAGACTTCAAGAGCGATTAAACTAAGGAACAACTAAGAGAAAACATGGGACAGAGTGAGTCTAAGGAAAGAGGTTTTAAGTAAGGTTTTAAAGAAGGCAACTTTAGAAGCAAGGTTTTAAAGAACTGCAAGGACTGTGGCCTTAAAGAATAAAGATAGAGAAAAGAAGAATGAGGGTTGGGCATCTCCACCCAAGTACCTAACACACCAGACCCTACTTTCTGTCCTATCCTGTGTCTTTTCTGAATCTCCAGTCACCCCCAGTTAAGCCCAGTTAGGTTCGGTAATAACCAGGAGCAAGAGAGAAAGCTTGTTCTAACAAGGGAAGGAGTGAGAAAACAGTGCCCCCTCCAGCCTGGGTTTGACTATACCCATTCTTCCCTTAGTTTATTTTTTAAAATGCCACTATTAGCACCATTAATTGTTTACATAGCAAAGGAAAGAATTATTTTCCTGATATGTTAGTTAAAAATTGGCAGTCAGGAGACTGAGGCAAGAGGATCATGAATTCACAGCCAGTCTGGACTGTATAGAGAGACAGTGTCTCAAAAATGAGATCAAGCAAAAAAGAAACAAAGAAAAAGAAAAGGAACTGAATAAAATTTAATCTTCTTAATAGCATGATGATCTGAGGAAACTGATCTCATAAGCAATAAATGAGCAACTCTAAAAAAAGAAGTTAAAGGCCAACACAATTTTGTTTAGTGTACTTGTATTTGAAATAGTAGGATCCTCCAAAATTTCCTTAAAAACTGCTTACAGAAAAAATAAAACCCAAAACCCTTCATATATTAGTAAGAGAAGTAGATGAAGAAAAACCCTACTCACTTGTTCATTTAAGGAAAGGGGAAGGGTTTTGAAAAGACCATTAAATGCTACTAGTAGCAAGACAATGCTAATGTGATTTTTTGTTAGTAATTATTCCTTAAAGTGGGAATTTCCTACCTTAGTGAGTTATTCACTAGAAGGGTGTGTGTGTGTTTGTGGTGCTGGGTATTTAGGCATGTGTTGTACCTCTGAACTATGCTCCCACCCCAGAAGTCATTTTTTTGTGTGTGACTGTCTTCAGGTTTGAAAATAAAGGATTAGATGGCACACAATTGCTCTATTAACACCACATTTCAGACTAGTGAGTTCATAATTTCTATTTCTGATTACTGTTAAATAATTTGTTACAGTTAATGAAGTGGCATTGAATTCTAGATACAGTAATGCCATTGAGTTTAAAACAATGATTGTAAATAAGAAAGTGTACTCACAGACTTCCGAGGAATCTTTTAGAAGCCTTGCTGTACACAGTTATCTTTTTCTCAAAGGGGAATAAAAATCCAAAAATAATTAACTGTCAGATACAGAATAAATGAAAACACAAAATAAAAAAAGATATACTTTTTCTGATTCATGGAAGAAAAATTTTAAAAATGTGTTCAATTTGTTTTTGAGGTATTGGGGCTTGAACTCAGGGCCTACACCTTGAGCCACTCCACTAGCACTTTTTTTGTGATGGGTTTTTTCGAGATAGGGTCTCACTAATTATTTGCCCAGGCTGGCTTTGAACTGCAATCCTCCTGATCCGCTGCCTTCTGAGGAGCTAGGATTATAGGCATGAGCCACAAGTGCCCAGCTTTCACTTTTAATGAAGGCTGGGTATAGTGGCTCATCCCAGCCACTGGGATACCTGTAATTCCAGCTACTCAGAAGGCAGAAATCAGGAGCATCGAGGTTCTAATCCAGCCCACGTAAAAAGTTAGAAAGGCCCATCTCAACAAACAAGCCAGGTGTGGTGGCCTGTAATCCTAGCTACAAGGGAGGCATAGGTAGGAAGATCATGGTCCAAAGCCAGCCCAGGCAAAAAGCACAAGATCCTATCTGAAAAATGACTAAAGCAAAAAGAGTTGGGGATATAGCTCAATGGCAGTGCAAGGCCCTAAATTCAATCCCTAGTACTGCCAAAAAAATAAAAAATCTCTACAATGAACTCTTATTAAAAAATAATTGAAACATTTAATTTGTTTTCTTACTGCTGTTTTAACCAATTTCCAGCCAGATGTATCTTGATTGTAACCTAAAATTTCTTGGACAGTTTGTTGGGCAATTGCTTTATAGTCCATCTACCTGTAAAGTTTTAAAAACAAATAATTGGTAAGAATGTAATCATATAAACAGTACTTTTTTGAGATGGAGTCTTACCATGTTGCCCAGGTTGGTCTCAAATTCATGGGCTCAAGTGATTCTCCCACTTTAACCTCCAGAGTAGCTTGTACTACAGGCATATGCTACCACACCCAGTTCATATAAAAACTTTTAAAATACTACATTACATTTTAATACTATTTCTACAAAGCCTATCACCTAACAATGCAAAATAATTACTTGTTGATTACATACATGCATGAATGAACCCCTTTCTCCTTACTTAGTCTTTTAAATGAGAAAATGTGACATAGTTGGAAAAGGCAGACTTTGGAATCAGAGACCTGGGTAATCCTGTCTCTGCCACTTACTGTGTGAGGCATGCTACTTAATATTTGTTTTTTTCATTTTCCTCTTGATATAAAAGTGGGATAATACCCACCATGTAGAATTGGTAATTGTAGGATTAAATGTATACAATACATTTAAATGTCATACCCCCAGGTCTGGCACAAAATAATCACTCAGTAAGTATTATTTCTAACATGCTCCCATTCCCTTGTAATTCATCACAATCTATTGATCATGTTCTCTTGGGGATTAATTTTTAAAGTGATAGGCATGACACTAAATGATCTGACTCCTCTTCAAACATACCTCCTACAGGTCATCTTATTGTACACTTAGTTCCAATCCTATTGACCTCGTGGCTGTTCCTTAAGTATAGTCAAGCAACTTCCTACCTCATGGTCTTTGTACTTGCTGTTCCCACTGCTGGGAAAATTCTTCCTCGATGTGTCCATATGACTGACTATTTCATTGGTATCTTTGCTTATATGTTACCTCCTCAGACAAGATCAATTTTAAATCAACTCAATTTAAATACATTTACTGAACCCCTACTTTGAGATAGGTACTACAATGGCCTGAATGTTGCCCCCTCCAAATTCCTATGTTAAATTCTCAACTTTCAATTATGATAGAGTTTGAAGATGAGGCCTTCGGGAGGTGATTAGGGGATGGGAGCAGGGGCCTCATGATTGAGATTATTATGTTTATAAGAAATTGGCAGGGACCTCATTTGCCTCTTCTACACTGTAAGGACATAGCAAGAAAGTGATGTTTGTATCCCAGAGGAGGTCCTTCACCAGAAGCTAATCATGATGTCACCCTGATCAGACTTGCAGCCTTCAGAACTGTGACAAACAAACTTTTTGTTTATAAGTCACACAGTCTATGATAATCTGCTGTAGTAGCCCAAAGGGAATATGTCAAGTACAATGGTAGGTAGAGCAGACAATTAAGAGACAGTTTCTGCTGTGAATGAGTTTAAGAACCTGTAGTTTCATTAGTCCTTAGGCCCATCAACCAGTTTCAGTAAGGAAAAACTGGCAGGTGTGATATAAAGAACATGAAAACAGCTGGATTTAAATCCTGACTTTGCCACTTACTATCAACTTTATTATTTTGGGTAAACTGCTTGTTGGGTCTGGGGACCTAAAGGGCAGATGAGTGAGTATCCCATCCCCCACGGACAGCACTATGAGCCATGCACCCTAGGAAGGAGATATATGGTTTCATAAATCTGTCACAGAATGCTCTCAAGGTTGTTTCCCCCCATAAAGGGCAAACAGACCAGCTCACGGAAGAGAGCCTGCACATGAATCCATGGCCAATGGAAAAAAACCCACCTAACCCTTACCCTAACCTAGTGTTAAAGCATCAATAAAAAGCCCCAGTCTTGACCCGAGCAGGGAGCCACCAGTATCTGGGCTCCGCTGTCCTGCTCTGGCTATAGTCTTTCCTTTCCCTCTAACAAATTCTACTTTGTATACCGGCCTTGTCTCATGAGTCAATGAGCTGCCTCACCAGCCAGTTCTCTGGTCTGTGAAGGCAAGGACCCTTGGCACTGGCCCACAACATTCACACTGGCATGTAACATGCTTAACCTTTACTTCAACTTCCACAATTATAGAATGGGAATAATAATACTTATCTTAAGGAATCTACAAGGGTTCAGTTAATACATGCCAAATCCTGACAGAGATCTCCATATCTGTTAACCTGTAAGGGAAAAAGTTTAAGCAGAATTACTTTGGTCCACAATCCATCTTCTTAGTGTCCTTTATTAATACTTTGTATGGCTTAGGAAACATTTGCATATATGCCTCAAGATGGAAGAAAAGATAGGATGAAAAATGGTGTGGGGGATGAACCCAAAGTTTTTTTTGTTTGTTTTTTGATGGTACTGGGGTTTGAATTCAGGGCCTCACACTTGCTAAAGCAGGCACTCTACCACTTGAGACATACTCCAACCCATGGTCTTAAACATACTAGGCAAGCAGTCTACCAACTGACCTATGTCCCCAGCCAAGAAACATTAAAAGATACTGCTTATGAGGAACCTTCACAAATTATTTTAAAGAAGTACCGATTAAAAAGATATTTAGGTGGAATGTGCACTAAAAAAATCTAATTTTTATAGCTTATGCCATCAACAGTCTTTGGCTGATTTCTGAGCAGGACTGTCTTAGTATATAAAACACAGTTCTTTATTTCATATCAGCAGCTTTCTTGATAGTGATTGATCTCCCAATTTTGCACATTATTGGAATTTATCACTAGCTGTACACAGGAACATGAACTTATGTGTTTAATTGAACCATGAAGCTGAATTTTATAGCTTTTGGCATTTTTACTTGCTAAGAGGAACAGGAAGGTGAAGTTTAGTAGGTTAGAGAGGGTGAAAAAAACAGCAGACTGCAAGAATACATTTGTATTACCTCGTGATGTGGTATCGGATGAGCTGCAACTTATTCAGATGGGAATATTGGTCAAGGATATCTTCACCTATAGAGTCAGAGGAACATAAACATCAACCAATAATGACATGGCATTTTTTTTTTTTTTTGGATACACCGTTTGGTTGAAACTGGATCCTTCGCAAGCTCATATCCTGTCCCATATTGCAGACATGTTGTTGACGGATCTTTACATCCATTTGTATACTGTTCCTCTTTCAGGGCTGCCTGACTGGGTCCCCAATCTGTGCTGGGTCACTGCCATTCTTCCCTAGGAATCAAGATTCCCGAGGAGTTTGTTAAATCCCATTCCTGGTTCAAGTCCCTTCTCCAATCCCACACCAGCTTTGTATTGAGAACTGGCTGGAAGCCCAGGAAGGCCGGGCTCAGGCGGGATGGAGAGGGTCCGAGGAACGGGGGAAGGAAGCGGTGGGGAGTGTCCCTGGCTGGAAGGATGCTTCATTTAGGGAGGGGATGAGGGGATGCTCCACAAGCAGGCTCAAAGGGAAGACTAGGACTGTTGGGCTAGCTCTCCCGCCCCACCGGGTTCCCGCCCACGGCTGAAGGAAGATAAGCCCGTGTGGGAGCAGAGTGACCGAGAGTAACAGTGACCAAGTGGGTAGGGAGGGCGTGGGGGCAAGAATGAGTGCAGAACCTGCCCCTCCCAGCTCCGAAAGAAGACAGGGGAGAGACCACACCTCCCAGCCAGGACGCCAACCTAACGCCCCTCTGCGCCCCGTGACCCCTGAGCGGCTCGTGGGGCAGCCCCGCGCGTGTCGGAGCGCCGCGCATGCGCACGCAACGCCGGCGCCATGTTGTGTCGGTTTGAAAGTGAGCGCGGTCGTCGCGCTCAGCTGTGACGGCGGAGGAAACTTGGGAGTTAGCGGAGCCGAAGGGGGGGCGGTGTCCGGCTTGGGGATGCTGCGTCGTATCTCCCGTTCCGCATCAGGCCTGGGCTATCGGCGGAGACTTGTGGAAGTGTGAGTTTTTTTCTTTTTGTGGGCCTTGGTGAGTTAAGCCGAGGGGCACCCCATCCTTGGACAGCGGAGGGAAAGACGAAAGGATGGGCTTCCTACAGGGAAGAGGGAGAGGTCTCCGCCTGGAGGGCGCGTGTTGAGACTCGGGAAGAAGGGGGGAGTGCGTTATGGCCGGGGAGGGTCCGGGGACGGGGACCTTGGGGACCTGACCGGGATGGGGAGGCGCTGGACCGTCGCCCACTGCGGCGCTCCCTGCGGAATAAAAAGTTCCTGAGTGACAAAAATCTCCTTAAAGACCGAGTCTGTGTCCGACTGACGGGGTCGCGGAACCCCGAAGCTGACTGACAGCTCAGCTTCAGTCAGGGGTGGAAAAGTTGGACGCCCGCGCGCGCAGGGTGGGTGACGCTGGACGCACAGCGTCGGGGCCCGGACGGTCCCGGTCCCCGTCCCGGTCCGTCCTGCCCGTCTCTGCTGCTCGATCGGCCCGTGTTCCCTTTCATAACGTAGAAGTCACTTTGCTGCTCCTTCCAGGAGTTGCCCTTCACTTCCCACTGGTCATTGATTAACCCCGAATGTTCTGCTTTTTGAATCAAGGTAGTTGAAATGCCTTGCCCTAAGTTTTAACATTCTGCTCAGCATGATGGAGTTGCTTTTGGAGATTCGGGCCGAAGAGTTTGTGGAGGAGAAGGTAAGATATATGGGACTTGCTTAAAATTATGTGGGATTCGAAAGAGTTCTTTGTGGCCCAAGTGGGGAGAAGTGGGTGGGGAGATTGAAAAAAAAATTGATGTGTGTTAATAACTGTTGGAAGCCAAGATGATGGCTACGTAGGGGTTTAAAGTTTGTAAACGTTCCGTAATAAAAATTAAATTGTGGGTTTTATCAGGCGTGTAAGTGAAAATAACTACTGTTATCACCCACTTATGCAGAACTGTAATCCAACAGCTTTCCCTTCTAGGTTTTGCATTCGTTTTTAAGGTTTTGTAAAACTGGCAATCTGTTCTGTGTTTAGATAAGGGAGAAAATGTTCATTTAAAGTTAAATTTGCTTGAGTGAATTTAAACCTCTTTGGTAAGAGGGACAAAAGGATAAAGCTATCTTAATCTAGCCCTTCTTCAGAAACACATTAATAGCCTAGCATTTAGGGCTATGGAAGAGGCTAAATACCCTTGTCTTGTGTTCTGTAGTTGCTTCCACTAACCACTACCAGATTTCCTAGGAAGGCATAGTCTGAGGAAATGACAAAATGTCTTACTGTGACTCTTCTTTAATTAGAAGAACTTTCATATTTTAAAATCAAGTTTGACAGTTGACTGAGATTTCATTAGAAAGTTAATGTAACTTTAAATATTTCCAAAATTATAGCCAAAACTTAAACTTACTGATTTTAAATATTGTAGTGTGTGTTAAGTCCTACACGTTGATACTTTTTGAGTTCAGAAAATCCTTAAATTTCAGTAAATATCATATTATATATTGATTGACTTAAGGACTGTCCATTCTGTTAGTTCTTATTTTCAAATATAAATCCTTTTAAGGCTAAGGTAGATAGGAGTTCTCTCAATTTTAATGGAAAAACAGGAGATGAGTACATTAACTCAATTTTCAAATTATTTAAGCTTCATTTAAAAGAGAGGTGAGCTGAATCTGTTTAACATAAGAATTGAAAATAGCAAGGGTCCCACCAAAATAGGGGTCAGGGAGTGATTATTAACAATGCTGTTTTAAGAAAAAGGCATATTGCTAGTTCATTCCAAAATATAATTTGTGTTTTATTTTTTCATAGGTAAATATTATAAATTATTTAGGGAAAGTATTGGCTAAAGTTTCATATTGGCATTTGCAGTGTGAAAGTAGATAGTCCCCTTTGTTCTTATTTCTAATGCCTTATTTGATGGCTTAAAAAAATCTATTACCATCAATACTGCATGATAAAGTAGGGTTATGATTTGAAAAATATTATATATAGGGAATGTTAGGTATTGTGATGTCATAGACAATATCACCATAAGAAAAAAGACTGTCCACGAGTAGTTTTTAGTATTTAAAAAAAGTGAGTACTCTTTCCTTGATATTTCCACATATATTTTAAGTTGTATACATACTTTCCGATACACAGTAGGTACGCAATAAATATTTTCTAAATCATTAATGAACTAGTGTACAGTAAAAATAATAGAAACTCTTTAGTGCTACTTGTTACCGATAACTGATTTTATTTTTTAATAAATGTATAAGTTTATATATTTAATAGTTTTCTCTGCATATATAGTGATTTCTTTTAATTGGCACCTTCAACTTTTTCTTTGTTTTTCACTTGTTTTTAATAGAAATGAATAAAAATTACACAGTTTGAGGAAGCCATGGCAAAATCAAACACAAAACACAGAATTTGTTCTCGGAATTCTTCAGTATCTTCTCTCCTGGCAAGCTGCAACCTGAGTAGTAGTAATTCCTCTAACTCTGATGGCTCTTTTCACTATAAGGATAAACTCTACAGTTCTGCTTCTCAGGCTTTACAGGCATATATTGATGATTTTAATCTAAGCCGAGTATGTCCTGGAACAAGCACTGGAAAAATTAACATTGATGAAGGTTGTGCTAATAGGTCACAATTCTCCAACTATAGTTATAACCAAAACAATGGTATGCTTTTATTCTTTTCTTTTATATCCAATGATTTGAAGAATTTGAGAAATGTACTGTAGCCTTAGAAAGTTTGACATTTTTTTGTTATTTTGGAATAAAAATAACTTTTTATAGCATTGAAATTTTATTATTTTATAAAAGTTGTACAGTTGTCAAGTTCCCAGGATTTTCCATCTAAAACCCTCTGATTTTGAAGAGTAAACTGATGAATGTAATAATAGCAGGTAGTGATCATTAGCCCTTAAGTCATTTTATTGTAGCACAATGGAAATAGGAGTGGTGTGGCAATTCTTTCATTTACTAGCTTAATGACTAAGTAAATCCCAACCTTTCTGAGTTTATACTTGCTCAATTTCAATAGATGGGGTGGGGCTATGTGTTTCTAGTCTGTATTCTGTGGAATAGTCACAGGATGTTAAAGAGTTTGTCTTTGATAAGGCTTCCATGAAGACAAGTCTGGAAAATGCAAGTGTTGATGAACCAGCTAATTTTCTATTGAGCATTTATAAAACGGGCTTAGAATGGAGAAAGGTTGTATTTAACTCTTAGAGGGGTGTGGGTGGTATATTCTAGAAAAGAATTAGAACATCTGTTCTTTGTGTGTATGTGTATAACTGTGCCATTGCAGGGCAAGTAAGAAAGAAAACAAATTATTTTTTACCTAGTTTAATAGCACATTTGTTTTATGGTACAGCCATTATCCAATGACAGATAATAACTTGATTATATTAGTATATCAGGTATGTCTACATGACAAAAGTTTAAGAAATAGTAAATTAGAAAACACAGGAAAATTCAAATGACTGGAGAGAAATATGTAGAAATTAAAACATTGAAGAGAAGTGAGAAATAAAGCACATTTTATTTTTACTAAACTATATGTTTTATTCTTCTAGTTAAACATTTAATGAGGATAAGGGGAAAGCAACAAAAAAGATTCTTAAGTTCTTAATCCTCATTTATTGTTAAATATTATATGTGATAAAGGAGCTAAGAAGAACTATGCTTTGTTTTTCAGCTTTTGAAAATCTTGGTCACAAACAGCATTCAGACTCCCTAACCTTATCCTATGGAAGACAGAATGTTAATGACTTAGACTCCTATAGCCTAACAACTGATGATTTGTTAAGACTTCCAGCAGATGGATCGCTTTCTTTCAATTACGTTAGACCAGGTCACCGACCAAGCAAGAAAAGCAAGAAATACATTCGAAGACTGGGTTCATCGAACATTGAAAAGAATCCAAATTTTCAGGAATCCTCCACTCCCACGGGCAAGGATAACTTAGCCACTCCTGTTGTATACACAAATATGAACGGAAAGCAATGTGGTAGGCCAAAAAACCCCATACTCACAAATAGGACTAATAAACATATTTCTAAATCATCTTCATCTTTTCCCAAGGAATCGTCTTTCACAGACAATTCAGAGCACAGTCCTGAAAAGAATTATCCAAGATGGCTCACTAGCCAGAAATCTGACCTTAATGTTTCAGGAATAACTAGCATACCTGATTTCAAATATCCAGTGTGGCTCCACAACAAAGACTTGCTACCTGATGCAAATAGTCAAAGGGTTTATAAAACATTTGAAGAAAACTGTTCCCCTAGACATAGTTACCAGGCACAAAGAACTCGGCTTCCAAATAAAGTAGATTGTTTTGAATATTCTTTTGGACCCTCAAACTTTTCACATTCCTTGAACAAAGGATTAGTTAATGAATACACATGTGATTCAGAACATAGCCAATGTCAGTGTGAGAATCCACTTCTCCCGGGACAATCCAAAAAGCCGTTTAGTGGTAATATTTTGTTTTTCATTTTTTTGTTTTTTAAACCAAAAGAAGTGCAGCAGAATTTACCTAATATCTAGGAGTTTTATTTTTGATACATCTTTTAGAATGCATATGATCTTTTATGTATATTTTATAAGTATAAATGTGATACTTTAGGATAATTTGCTGTTATAGATGTGTGTATTCTGGTTATATTCTTACTAAGTGAAGTTTTTTGTGCTTTTTATTTTTCTCAAAGAATTAATGTAATCTTTCAAAATTAGGTGACAAAATTGAATTGCTTATTCTGAAGGCCAAGAGAAATCTAGAGCAATGTACTGAAGACTTAACAAGTCCTCTGAAAAAGGACAACAGTCCTTGTTCATTAGATAAACTTGAAGCAGAAAGATCATGGGACAATGTTCCTGTTACTTTGTAAGTAAGTGACAGTGTTTAGTTTTTCAAATGAAAAAAATGTCCTGTGAGCATCACATTTTTTAAAAAACAACTTAGTGATAATTAACAAAAGTAATAACATTGTAATTCTGTAGAACATAGCTTTGTGTTGCTTGCTTTAAAGTGCATCTTTCATTTTTTGCCACAGGGTGGCGTAATGTTTCATACCTTTAGGTACCCTTCTGTAACTTCTGGCTTTGTTACATGTTCATTTTGTTTCGCTGTTAAAAACTGATATATATCTAAATATGAGGGCTTAGAGCCAAAACAATTATTTTGCAGATGGAGGAGTGTTATGAAATTCTTGTTACTTTTTTTTTTAACCTTAAGCCTTCCTCTTCTCTTTATATATATTAGTATTATCCATTTCATTATTTACATTTTACTTTCTCTTTAGTTTTTTTTTGTTGTTGTTGTGGGGGGCAGTATTGCGGTTTGAACTCGGCCTTGCACTTGCTCGGCAGGCACTCTATCACTTGAGCCACACCTCTCCAGCCTTTGCTCACTGTTTTCTTTAAATGATGATGCATTTTAAAATACGGTCTGTTGTATAGATTTTTGTAGTTCTTAAAATTGTTTTCATTTGTGTGCTTACCCTTTCTATAATACAGTTTTGTCAGAATAATTTAAAAAGTGGTTAGACACTTGAAAAAGTATAGTATTTGAATTGGGAACTTACATAGGAAAGTTTTTATTCTTAGCAGTATTATTACATTTGGACTTACTCAGAAATGCATTCTTGGTAACTCCATATCATGCCTTAGGCTCTAATAATTTTTTTATTATCTTTCAGTTGCCTAAACTTTTGTTATAGTCAGAGCCTCAATTCCTGGATTATTTTTTAACTATTTTTCAGTTGAATACCTCTTTTGAATGCTGATACTAATTCCAGTTTGGACTTCCATCTCTTATTTTTTGTTGGGAGACCTTGAAGAGCTACTTTTCTAAACTTTAGAAATGGAAAAATAGTAAATACTTGGGGATTGTTAAGAGGATTCTTTTTCATTGGCTAGAAATGAAAGTACTTAGTCCAATTCTCATTCAGGGTGAGTTCATAAACTGTAGTAGTGATGGTGATTGTCCAAAGTATTGTTTTATTTTCTTCTTCAGCTTCATTTCCCAAGTTATGTCAGTAAATTTTTTTAAGCTTGGATTGATAAGTGACTCATGTAATGCTGAACTACTTCTTATTCCCTAACTTCTTATTTTCTTATCTGTTGGTCTCTGTGTTAGTAAAATACAAAAATAGGAGTAAAATACTTTGCTTTCATTTCAGACCAAAAGGAGGGAGCAAGTAATATCAGAGATTATTCGTAGTAAAAATTTGAAATGCATTTAATATCTTCCACTTAGATAATACAACTTCTGGCATGTGTAATTAATATTATCAATGGTGTGTCTTAATAACTTGCATCTAACCTTTCATTTTTTGGAGGATCAATTTGCATTGTGATGGTACATTTGTAGAAAAAACTAAAACTGGATTGTTGATAAAAATGAACATATCTCAGTTTGAGACTGACAAACTATTCATAACCTGTTATCAGGTGGAAACAACTGTACAGGAAGTATGAGAGGTAGAATTTTAAAAGAACATAGCCACAATCAGCTAATTGTGTTTAAAAAATTACGAAGAATTTCAAGCAGATAAAAAAAGTAGAATGGAATAATGAAACCACTATATGGTGTACGTCAGGCAAATGGTTTTTGAGAACAGTGGGTGTGTAGATAGACAAACCATACTGGTAAAAATGAGGAAAAGAGTACCTGAACTGAGAAAAAGCTCACAGTAAATTATAAATCAAATATATAAAGAAGTGCTTCTTATTAAGGAAAATACTGGCTAGGCATGGAAGCACGTGAGCAAAGCCCTGGGTTTAATCCCCAGCATTGGAAAGAAAAAACTAGCACATGAGATTTAAATGTTAGAAAAAGATTCTTAGATATCTGAGTTCTTGAGTTCTAAGCGTATTTTATAGTGATAGGTAGAAACAGTATGAATTTATTTCTGAGACTAACAGAAATTTGATTTTGAGAGCATTCTTATTTTTGCTGGGGATGCCAGTTCGTCTGCTACTTCTTGAATATAAGGAAAAAAACCCAGATATTTATTGAGCATCTATTAAATGTACCAGCTGCACAGAGAATTATCTCATTGACATAAGTGGGCAACAAATGCAGATACTGACATTCAGACAAATGAAGTAATATAGTGAGTGGGTCTGGGATTTGCAGTCAAGAATTTTAATTCCAAAATTAATCTTTTTTCCTAGTGTAGTCTTATCTGTGTTAATACCAGTTTGTATGGAAGTCTGTTCTCTTGCTTTAAAGTTGGAAAACAACATGTAACTGCCTCTCTTAATTGAGTTTATGGAGTTCTTGATTATTATTTGATAAGTAACTTTTTTTTAGTTCTGGGAACCAAACCAAGGCCTCACCATATTTTATTAGGCAAGGACTCTACTATTGAGCCACACTCCCCAACCCTGACAACATTTAATTGGAAAAATGTACTACTTATTTCAAATAAATGAGCTTTTGGAGTTAGTTTATAGTTGAGCGCTTGTTTAATTAATTGAGGACTAGTAGTTTCTGTTTCTTTATATATAGTTTTTCCTTAAGGTTTGAAAGGAGAAGCTGCAAGGGGATAAGGACAGGCTGAATCCTGTTACTACTTTAGGGAGAAGATAGGGGAATTACCATACAGCATTAATAATCATATATGTCATGGTTATGTCTTGGTGAAAACATATTTAAATGAAATTCTTTAAATTATGTGCTGCCTATTTTCTAGAATTTGGGAACATAATTGCTATTGTGTATTCTTGTAATCCTGTTTAGCAAATCTCCTGTTCCTGTTAATTCTAATGATAGTCCTGAAGAAACTTCAAGGACAAAGAGTGCCAAAGATTTTCTTGAAGACTTTTTAAATAATGATAATCAGGTAGGTGAAGTTAAATGTTTTTAACTTATTAAAAGAGGGTTCCCGATTAATACATAATTTCTAAGTTAGATATTTAATAAAAAAAAAAGCAGACTCATTCTCTTCTCCTCAACATACATTCTGAATTCCTTTCAGAATTATTGGTAATTTTCTTGCAATATTCTCAAGTAGAAGGACCTGGAATTTAATTCTACGGATCGCTTAAATTGTCAGTACAATGACTTCCTCCCATCCCTGGAAAACATTAAAGTAGACAATTACAGAGGAAATAGTATTTTCTAATAAACCAATCATTCATTGAAGATTATGCTTCTAAGAAACAATGATAAATGTATAATAATTTAAAATAGGAAAAATTCTCACATAGTTCTTAAAAGTCAGTTTATGTGTATATTAGAAGTAACCTCCCCAAAATATAAAAAGTGCATATAAGAAATTATATATAATTTGACTTAGATATTGAAATAATGCATTTACTGTTAGATATTGAAATAATGCATTTGGGTTTTTAACATCTTGAAGATTTGAGGGGTTGAACCCTCATAATAAAAATTAGTTAAAACATTTATTAAGTTGTGTTCTGTTTCTATGTGAATTTTACTAGAAAAAAGTAGAGGCTGTCAGAATATGTCTTAAAGTTGTAATTTTCAGAATAGGGACAGAGTAGTGATTTGGGTTAAAATGGGTATGTTTTTGAAGGTGGTCAGAAAATGTTGGGCTTGGGATGTATTTTAAAAGCAGGCCTAATAGGATGAACATACAGAAGATTCAAAGGATGAATCTAAGATGTTTGAGCCAAATAACTAGGTGGTGGCTGGTAGAAGAACAAATTTGGAAAAGTGTTTTTAAAGTTTGAGATAGATGAGTGTTAAATTCTAACCAAATAGTACCCTGTCTCTTGTCCCACACATACAGAAGCTTACCACGAGGTAAGCTTTTTTGATGTTTTTTGATGTTTTTTTTTGTTTGAAATAATTTAGATGTATAGAAAGTTACAAAAATAATACAGAAAGTTGTGCTTCTTTTCCCCAGCTTCCCCTTTTATTAGCATCTTACATCACTGTAGTATACCAGTAGGTAATTAAGATAGGTACAAAACTGTAAATTGTGGACCCTATTACACTTTTACCAGTTTTTAAACCAATGACTTGTTTCAGGATCTACTGTAGGATGCAACATATTTAGTTGTCATCTTCTGTACTTGGTTTCAGCTCTTTAGTTTTTTTTTCTTTACTCTTTTGAAAAGTACTCATCTGTTATTTTTCAGATAGTTTAGGTTTTTCTGAAGTGTTCTCATGATTAGAATGAGGTTGTGCATTTTTGGCAAGAATATCAGAGAAGTGATGATGTACCCTTCTCAGTATATCATATCAGAGGATTTATGAAATACTGATGTCATTGATACATGTTAACACAAAAATAATAGTAGTATATGACAGTATAATATTCTGTTAATGGTGATGTTAACCTTGAATGCTTACCTAAACTGGTGTTTACTGGTTTTCTCTTTAGTATAGTTATCAGTTCTTCCTTGTAATTAATAAATGTCTTACAGGAGATACTTTGAGACTGTGTAAACTTACCTCCACTAATTTTAGTATCATTAGTATGTTTTTCTTCTACATTTATTAATTGAAATTCTTGTGTAATGAGGGGCTATACTTTTTTCCACATTTATTAGTTTATTTTAGTAGAGACACAGATTTTTATTTTATGCTAGGTTTATAATATAACACTATTATTTATGTTCAAATCGTTCCAGTTGAGGTTCTTAGGAGTTCTTTCAGGTTGGCCCCTGTGTCCTTTTGACATGCTCTATTATTTTTGAGAGCATTTCTCTGAGTAGCCATGGTTCTTTCTACTGGAAAGTGGTGTTTAGAAACTAAGATTCAGGTGGTAGGTGGGTAGATGTGCTTCATGGTACTGGATTGTTCTTCATTCTAGACTGTCTGAGCAGGCTGACCTAGGAAACAACTCATATATTATCACACATCTACATTTTTGTATCTACTTGTGTATATATACATATATGTTTGCATATGTTACATACATACATGTATATATACTACTTTACATATATATGTATAAAATCATGAGTTTATTCTGATACTTCTGATTTCCAGTTCAATTCCTTAGGGTTTATTTTAACTTTCCCCTGTTATTCTCATTTTGTTCTCTGTGAGAATTCTGACTCTCAGTGTCTACAATAGATTCATGCATTTGTTCAATCTTAACTGGTCAGGCAGTTTTAGAACTACTAACCCATGTATGTAGAACATAAATTTACTGACTAGATTATAATATATTTTGCATGTAGTAGTTTTTGTCATTTGCTTTATAATATCCAACCAAAATACTGTTTTCCAAAGTAACCTAGGTTCTTTTCTTCCTAACTCCACTTAGTGTGGTTATATTGTTTTACTTATAGTACTGTTAGATGGTTTGTTATTATCTTTATTGGGCTCTTCTCATGTTCTGTTTGGTTTCAATTGTTTTTTGAGTGTGTAAAATACTACTGTGGTTTAAGAGTTGGACAAACTGTTTTTTTAACAGAAAGATGTACCCAGAGACATTCGCTACTGGGTTTTAATGACAAATCTCAGAAAAATTATATCACATATACTAATATTAAGTCTAACTGTATTCTTATACCCTGTCTTTTTTCTTTTTTTATTCTATTATAACAAAATATATAGAATCTAAAAATTTCATTTCTACCACTTTTAAGAGTACTGTTCTGTTTAGTGACTCCATAATATGTATAACCATTGCCATCAACCATCTCCAGAACTTTTCCATCTTCCCAAACTGAAATCTGTGCCCATTAAGCACTAACTCCTCACACAGTGTCCTGTAAATGAAAACATTTAAAAATTTGGAGAGAGTGCTATGTTTAAAATTTTAGACCTTAGCTGATAACCATATTCAAAGAGAGTATGTTGGTTTACCTGCTTTCTGAGAGCCTTTTAGTTATAAAACTAATTTTAAATGTACTAAGTGAGTTGGCTATAAATGTAAATATGTAATATTCATTACAAAAGAGCAAGGATTAAAAGGGCTATGTCAAACTTCGTCATGATTCTAAGTAATTTTATGTAGAAACTGGGTTTGGGGAAGTGGTGCGGTAACAATTTTTGATTTTTTTAAAACACTTTATTGGCATGTATTGTTTGGGTTTTTGTGTTAATTTTATATTATAGGAAATACAAATTAAAACTCATTTTCCTGTCATTCAAATGGTTAACTTTGTATTATCAACTGCTTTAATTTTAGAGCTCTACCCTTTCTGGTGGCAAACATCATGGTCCAGTTGAAGCATTGAAACAAATGTTATTTAATCTTCAAGCAGTACAAGAAAGCTTTAATCAGAATAAAATTATAGAGCCAAAAGAAGAGATTAAGCAAGTAAGCACAAACTTGATTTGCACATTGAGATCTGCGAATTTGTCTAAACATTTTGTGTTAGTTACTTTTCTCATTGTTCTCATTAAATACCTGATAGAAACAACCTAAGGGAGGAAGGATTCATTTTGGTTCACGATTTCAGTTCATAGTCCTTAGCTTTGTTGATTCCAGGCCCATGGTTAGGTAGAACATCATGGTGGCAGGAGCGTGTGGAGGAGGAGGCTGTTGACCTATGATGGACAGGAAACAGAGAGTGAGGAAGGGTACGAGACCAGGTATAACCTACAAAGGCATGCTCCCAGTGACCTGCTTCATCCAACGAGGCCTCACCTACCACAGTGTCTACAAACTCCCAAAATAGTGCTGCCAATTGGGGACCAGGGAACCAAGCAAGGGTTCAACACATGAACATGTGAGGGACATTTCATATTGAAACTATAACAGATTTCTTTTGACATCTTTTTTTACCTACCTTTAGATCTCTCTTAATAAGCATGCCGTATGACACTATGAGTTGTGTTAACTATTTTTTTTTTTTGAAAGTAATTTATACTTAATACTACTAAGCTTCTGGTTTTTTTTCCATATTTCTGAACAGATTTTTCTGTTCTATTTATGGTTATAAATCCAGCATTTTATTTAGATATGATGATGTTGTAACTAGTATGAAAGAGTTGTAAAAGTTGTTTGTTAATGCCCTACAAAATTAATCTGTCTGGTCCAACTTAATAGATTTGGGAAAGCCTAGAAAACCGTTCAACACAGACTTATTCACATCTTTGTCACTTAAGACAAGCAAATTTACTTTTGTTACTGTGTGTTTATTGACGATTAAGTTTCATTTTAGGACTGTTGTGTTTTTTTTAAGTTTGTATATTTCCTATGAATTTGAAAATCTGTTTCTGCTTTGGCCTGCTATTCTATAGGATATAAATTTTCTTCAAAGTATGGTGTCTAAGAACATAGAATGTATATATTCTGTCAGTTCTAATTATGAATTCTTTTTGCAATTTACTAGCAAGTGGAAAGTTAGTACAAATCACTTTTGTCTTTTTATTTATTTGTTTTTGGCAGTATTGGGGCTTGAATTTAGGGCCTCACACTTGCAATTAAAGCGCTCTACCACTTCAGTCACGCAGCCAGTCCTGTTTTGTGTTGGGTGTTTTTGAGATAGGGTTTTGGAGACTATTTGCCTGGGGCTGGCTTCAAACTACAATCATCCTGATTTTTGCCTCTTTAGTAGATAGGATTACAGGCATGAGCCACTGGTACATGGCTCTTTTTACTTTTTAATTGACAAAATTTGTTATATATTCGTTGTACAATATGACATGTTGAAATAGGTATACATTGTGGAATGGTGCTGGGGTTTGAACTTAGGGCCTACACCTTGAGCTGCTCCACCAGACCTTTTTTTTTTTGATGGGTTTTTTCAAGATAGAGTCTTGCAAACTATTTGCCTGGGTTGGTTTCGAGACACGATCCTCCTGATCTCTGCTTCCAGGGTAGTTAGGATTATAGGGGTGAGCCTTTGGCACCCAGGTGCCTTACATATGTTTTGTGGTGAGAGCACTTAAAATCTACTGTTACCCATTTTCAAGTCTCTTATTGACTATGGTCATCATGTTGTATCTGAGCTTATTCCTCCTAATTGAAATTTTGTATTCTTTATCCACCATCTATTCATCTACCACTCATCCAGTTACTGATAAACAGCATTTTACTCTCTGCCTCTGTGAGTTGGACTTTTTTAGATTTGATGTATAAATAAGATCTTGCAATATTTGTCATTCTATACCTGGAATATTTTGCTTATCAGTATCCTTATTATTCAGTAGAGCTTTATATAATTCAGTTTGTATTACAAATCAGTGGAATAGCTCTTGAGAAGTACCACAGCCTATTTGAATTATGTTTCTAATTTTTGTTCTGATATTCTACTGTTCATAATATTAACGCAGAGTGTAATCCATCCTTCTTTCCCTTTTAAATATCGAGACATAACCTCATTCAGTAAAGTTATAATTTCAAGCCAAGATTTGATTTTTTAGTGGACATCTGTTTAGAAGCATATTTTAGGAAACTTGAAATACGAATCTAAGTGGTGGTGGTTGTATTTTTAGAATAAAGAAAAAATAAAACTATGCTCTCCTAAAAATTGTTTGCCAGAATTGATTCTTTGGAAATGCAGAAAATATTTTTTTAGTGTTTGTAATCATGTTTCAAATAACATTTGATTTTATAATTACATAATATTTTAAATATTTTGTCACATTTTTATTTTTGGTATTTTAAATAGGTTTTAGAAGATGATTTCTCTAAATTACAGTTAAAGGAAAATATGATTCCTATAACTAGGTCTCTTCAAAAGTAAGTATTCTTTACTACTAGGGTTAGAAATTCACCCATCTTAGCTATTCCTTTGACTAAAGTTAGGGTGGAATTCAGTAGTTCCACGAGTAGATATATGCTAGGCATGTTTGTGCTTCTTTACGAAAAGCATTGTTTTCTTTCAAACCTGTACTATTTCCTAATTAAAATGTTCTAAGAACCTAATGAGATACCCTTATATATTCACAGAAATGGATATGAAAGGTTAAGATCCTCTTTTCATTGTAGAGTTAATAGCAATTTTGGGTAGTACTGGTATGGATGTGAATATCATGTAACAATACCAATAACTTAATATGAAATTAGTTTCACTAGTGTAAATATAATAGTTACTAGTGTATCATTATTTAACCTTTCTCCACAGAAATTTGAAGTAGAAGAGTCTTTACTTCCATTTCCTGTGTGGCAAGCAGGAAATGTTTCCTGCTTTTCCCCACTTTAATCTGTCATATGAAAATCAATCCTTGCTTAAAAATAAAAGAAATCTGAACTAGATCAGTTCTTGGATATAGAGATAAATCTAATTTTCCTTGTTACAGTGCTTTAAATAAAAAAAAAAAAGTGGAGACTACAAGTCTTTCCTAAGGTCATGATACTGACAGAAGAGAAAATTTTATTTATGGGTTTGGTTGTATGAACATGAAATGTCCTCAGAAGAAATAATTACTGAGTGTAGGAAATACTGAGATTAAAGAATTTTTTTTTACTAACACTGTTTTACTTGGCTGTGAGGCTAAACAACTGTACCCTACCTTTTGTATTTTTGTGGAAAAGTGAAACACTACACATGAAAACTCATGACTAATTAAAAATGTATACACTGTATAGATAGTTTTCATAGTTAAAAATATAATCTGTGATTAATTTTTCTACTTTGACTTATAATCTTCCAAGTAGAAATACTACCCTTTTCTCTTTAACTTGACATAGAGCTTGGATATAAGATCTTATACCTGGTAGAGTTCAGTGAATAATGATAAGGAACATTTATTGATTATTTACCAAGTGTCAGTGTTCTGACTGCTATTGAAAATACAATTCATGTGCTCCTCATGACCCTGTGAAGAAAGTGCTGTTTATTACCTTCATAATACAGGTGAAGAAATAGGCATTGAATAATGACAAAACTTGTTCAATGTTAAATAGCTAGTAGGAGGTAGCACTGGGACTCAGCCTGTATGGTCTGATTAGAAAGCCTGTTTCTAACACTTGTAAAGGTAGTGGTGAATTGTTTGGAGACTAGGTGCAGGACATTAGTTGACCATCTAAGAGAAAGGTTTCATTCTGTTCTACATTTTTCAAGTGGATGACCTCAAGCTTTCCATTACTCCTGAAAACACTGATACTGAACTTGTATTGCAGACCCAAATGTGTTTTTTGAGTTCAAGTGCATACTTTAGAAGATTTTTTCCCTTATTTTAGCATTTTTTTTTCTGGCATACATTAAATTGTACATAGTAAGGGGTTTCATCATGACATTTCCATACATGCTTGTAATGTATTTTGATCAGTCACCCCTCTCTATTATTCTTTCTTGTCCTTGCTCCTCCTCCCTACTTTTCCCTTTCCCTTCCACCTCCCTGATAGTCCACTTCTTATTATCATATCTTAGTTGTTTTATTTTCCCTTAGCTTCCTGAAAGAGAGAGAATATATTATACTTATCTTTTGGGACTGGCTTATTTTATTTAACATAATGATGTGTAGTTCATTTTCCAGCAAATGACATAATTTTATTCTTCCCTCCCTCCCTCTCTCCTTCCCCAGTGCTTAGGGCTTTGTGCTTGCTTACGAGGCACTTTACCACTTGAGCCATGCCATCAGCACTTTTTGCTTTAGGTATTTTACAGATAAGGTCTTGTGCTTTTGCTCTGCTGGCCTAGGGCACCTGTACTCCTACCTATGCCTCTGTCACAGCTACCATACCTGGCTTGTTTGTTGAGATGGAGTCTCAGTAACTTTTTGTATGGGCTGGTTTGGAACCACAGACTTCCAGATTTCTGCCTCCCATACCTGAGATTACAGTTGTGAGCCACTGAGCCCAGCCTTTATGAAAAATTTTTTAAATTTTGATATGGTAATATGTATTTCTTTGGCATGATTTTAAAGAAGACAGTAGATTTAAAGTATAGGTAAGTTAAAAGTAATCTTATTTCAGTCTCCAGTCCCACATACCCACACAGATTTCATGAAAACATATATCAGTATTGAGACTTTTTGCATAATTTGGATTAAAAACACTGATATGTGCATTTTTTTCCCCTAACCCTCCACATGTTGATCAACACTTAGAGAAGGAGATTCTTGGAAAGCATCAGTGTCTGGGTCACCAGCAATTCCACTGTTTGGTTGATGAGAAATGAGGCATAAAGTTGTCTAATCACTAGCCATTTTCTCATATGGACATTCAGACTATAGACAGAAAGACTTTCAAATCACATATGTTCCATCACAGTGGATTTAATAAGTCTTGTAATATTATAACTACTAATAACTTAGAATTTTGAAGTAGTGATTAGTGTAAATGATACTTTGAGATACCTGGAATGATTATAATGTAACATAAAAATACCTGAATTCTATGAGCTTTAGGGCTACAGATACTGGTCCATTGTTTGCATTCATAAAAGAAGGAAATGCTAAATTAAAGGAGCAGAGAAATAAGAATGAGAAAAACTGAAAGGATATTTTTAGAGGAAGCTCAGAAAGTTTAGGGACTCTGCCTGCTTTGTTTGAGGGAAGATTGAGTTTTTTCCACTGAGAGACCTGACATTATTGGCTTTATTATAGAGAAAAAAAAATCTGGGTTGTTAGTGTACTATTACATGATTCATCCTTATTGAAGAAGTCACTGATTTTCCTCCCATTCAATAAAAATGAGTTTTCCTACTATAACTGATCATTAAATGTTATTAAAAAAATTAAACTATCTTGAGTATAAATGTTAAAAATGAGTCATATGCTTTATTTCCTAAATTGTATATAAAAGAAAAGGCATCATTTTGCAGCTGTGTGGGAAAATTTATATGAAAAACAGTTTTGTTAAGGATACAAGTGATATCTATTATTGTTTGTTATTAGGCTGTTTGGTAGATTATTTTAAAAATTGAATGTCAAATATAATTTTGAAGTAGATGTTTATAGAAAATTAGATAAATTATATAATCTTTAATTATTCAGATCTTTAGGTTTTATTAGGAACAGCACTCAAAACTGATATTTATATTGTTAGTTCATTTCTGATGCTAATTTTGAAGTTAATAATGTAATCACCATTTCTTGCTGTCTGCATTGGTTATTCAGTCCTTAATATTGGTTTATAATGTGTTTTATACTTTTTAATGAAGGGCCTTGCACCATTTGTCTCGCCTAAGAGACCTGGTTGATGATACCAGTGGGAAACAGTCACCGAAAATGTGAAGAGGAAAATAGAACGGTAACAAAAATAAATGGCCATCACAGAACAAATTATGTATTTTTTTCCTATTACTTAAGCTTACAATGTAAATATAAGGCATATATTATTCTATGATTGATTCAAGTATAGTTCTAAAAAAGGAATCTTGAAAATGTCCATGGGTTTTGTGATCTAGCCTCATTTTGTGCCAAAATACTATAATGTGAAGTGGAAGAAACCACAATATTAAAGTCTTACTTGGGTCTTCAGTCTGGCAAATGTTTTAATATTCAAAGATGGGCAATTTCCATTCTTCATGCACATTTGGGCTTATCTTCAGCATCCTTATCATTTTATCATTTGGGTCTGCAACATTAAGAAACTTCCTAAAATCTTCTAAATTAAGTAGACTTTAAAAAAATAGTACCCACTTTAAGCTGCTTACAGGAATATCAAAACTGTTATGGTGTATCACATATGGAAGTCTGTTACTTTTAAATGTTTCAAAAATCAAATGTTTAAGGGATGTTGTGTTTGTAAATGGCATCAATTCAATAGTATGTAATTCAGTACTATAAGGAATATTCTTTTATATTGTGACATCCACAGAACCTCCTCATTAATGCTCTGATTCTATGTACAATGAGCTTGATTATATTTGACAGAGAAATATCTGAGAATTTAACATTGACAATAAATGATTTCCCAGATTTTAGCTTTGGGGTTTGTGCAAACGATTGAGAACCATGAGTCAGTTGCCAATTGCTTTATGAAATTTGAAATTAAATGAAAAAACAATGAGTGTGGAAAATCGGAAAGCTACTCCATATTTTGAAGCTGTTTTCTAAGAGTTGAGTTTTCTTCAAAGCTTTCTGTAGTCTTCCAAGTTTGTCTCTAGCAAGAACTAAACCAAGTTGTATAATTTTGCAATTTTTGCCAAGCAGATATTAAAATTATTTCTAATAAGCAGGAAGCATCTTTATCAACAAAAGTCATAAGGCATAAATTATGTAACATTGAAAAAAGACTGATGAAATTAAAGAATATCTGTGTATGCATGTAAACAATAAATTAACACTTTACTCAAATGGCTGCATCTTTGCTAAGAAAATTTATTGCTAAATAGGAATTTGTAGACACATATGATCAATGAATTTTTTTCTAAATTATTAAGGCAATATTTAATGCCTTTTAACTGACATGTCAAATACTGTGGAGTGTTACCTGTCCACCCTGCCCTTTGGCCAGTGAGCTTTTCACCATCTTGCTCTGTTAGTTTGAGAGGCCCTTGCCAATAAATTTGTTTTGCTTACCCTGGTGGAGATCATTTTGCTACCAACAGTCTACTTTATGATTTAGTCTACTACTACATAACAAATTGCATGTGTAGCCAAATAGAGAATTACTTTGACTATTAAATTATATCTGACTTTTATGAGTGCAAACTTTAAGTGGTTAAATACTAAGTGGATCTGTTGTGAGTCGTGTTCCCGGCCTCCTGAAATCTATTTGATGAATTCTGAAGAAGACGGAGATTATGAAGATACCAGATAATAACTTCGAACTGTATATCAACTATACATTTACTATTCCTGGAAAGCATTCCAAAGAGATTGTGTTTAGAGTAGCACTGTTTGGTTAATGCCCTCATTTGCAAGAACATATCTCCAATGCCGATTGAACCAAGTTTATTCAAAGCTTGGCATGGTGGTGCATGCATGTAATCTCAGCACTCTGGAGGCTGAAGCAGGCCAACCTAGCCTGTAGTGAGACCCTGTCTCAAAAAAAAAAAAAAAACCAAAAAACCTTAAAAGGCAAGACTGTTCTAAAATTTTGTTAAAACTAGTACTTTAGGAAAATATTATAATACTTAAGAGAATTATTTTTTCCTTAATATGAAAAAGTTTAGTCTTTATCTAAAAAAGGAATTCATTTTATCAGAACTATTAATCATTAATCCTACTGGGAGTTGAACTCAAGGCCTCATGCTCACTAGGCAGGCGCTCTACCATTTGAGCTTCTCTGCCAGCCCAATCCTAGTCTTGAAAATGAAATACTTAGAAGAGTCAATTAAGAAAATAACTAGTAGAAATGATAAATGCTCATAAATTCTGTAAAGAAGCAATTTAAATACAAGCTTAATATTTCAAAAAGTATTTTTTGGGGAGAAAAGAATAGGATAAAGACTGCTAAGTTGAGAATTTAAAGCAGATAATGAGGACATCTAGATTTTAAAAATTTCATTGCTCTTACTCTTTTAGGTATGTTGAGAAAAGTTAAACAGAAAAAAAATTTTTAATAAGGTGTTTCAAATTGAGTGTGAAAAAAATAATAAAAATGTGTAAGTTCAAAAATTGAGATCCAGGTATAAAGTTGTGACCAACATGCAGAGTCAAGACTGAAATGTATTGTCTTTACTAATAACACTAATTCTACTTTCAGGTTTTTTTTTTTTTTTTTTTTGTGAGACTGGGGTTTGAACTCAGGGATTCACACTTACCAAGCAGGTGCTCTACTGTTCTGTGCTTGAGGCACACCTTCAGTACATTTTGCTCTGGTTATTTTGGAGATGGGGAACTGTTTGCCTAGGCTGGCCTTGAACCTTGATCGTCCTGGTCTTATCCTCTCAGGTAGCTAGGATTATAGGCATGAGCCACTGGCACCCTGCTCCATTTTTGTTTTTAATGTGACATTTCATTTGGCTTCATAGATATTTCTGACCGAATTGAGGAACTGTTTTCCTGGGTTTATTTTGGGTATATGTTTCTCTAGTTATGTTATATTTCTTGTCAGTTTATAAATGTGGATTTTTTTGTGTGTTTTACATTTTATAGCTTATGCAAACGTCTTGTTAGGTTATATATATGTAGTTACATAAAAATGTCACTTAAAGATTAATCGTGAAAAGATTAACTATGTTTTGAATATATGGAATTGCTCTAAATAGATTTGAATTTTTGTTTCATTTTTTCCTGCCCCACCCTTTATTCTATATTTCAAAACCTCTTTGGTGAAAATGCTGTCAAGAAGTGAACTTGTCAAAAGGAAGATAGCATGGAAGGAGCCAAAAGAAGCAAAACACCAATAAAATTGATAATTTATGAACAATTGAAGTCCCTTCAAATGTGCAAGACTGTATCTCTCTATTCCATCTACCTATTGGATATTTCCTGCCCAGTTATGTGATGTGTTGGTTTGCATTGCTTGTTACATAAATCTTGAGGTAAATCTAGGCCTAAACATGAACACAACTGTTCAGCAAGTTATTTTGTTGGATATTTTCCTGTGGTATTTGATCCTGTTCCTTTCCTGTTTCCTTTTTTCTTTATTATCATACATCTCTTAGGATTCTTTTCCTTTTCTGGACCAAAAATCTGGCTTTCTATTCTCCCAGTTGGTTCTGCATTATTCTTATCCTAGACCAGACTCTTTTATGTAACAGTTTTTCTTATGATGTAACTTTTATCCATTCTTAATTGTAGTTACTGGATTAGTTCACTTGTTTTCTAATACCTAGTGGAATTTCAGACATTACTCTCCCAACCCCACCAGCTTTGTCTTTTATACTGAAGCCAGATTGGTCTTTGCATAAATTTTTATGTATTTATTTTTGAGACATTGTCTTGCTATGTAGGCTAGGCTAGCCTAGACTTGCTTTGTAGCCCATACTGGTCTCAAACTCATGATCCTCCTTCCTCAACCTCCCAAATGGTAAAATTTTACAGATGTGTACCATCACATCTGCTGTAAGCCTGAATTTCTGTAAAAAGTTTAAACTCAAGAAGAGAAATACACTTCCACTTCCTTTACTTATATGATACTCTGCAAATCCTTTTGTTTTAAAAATATTGATAACTTTATTATTGAAAACTTATTTTTTTAGGTTCTTGGCAAAATTGTAATGCCTCCTTCCATACATTCATAGCCTGCCCTGTTTTTAGCATTTGCTGACAGAATTGTAAATTTATTACAATTGATGAGTCTACCTTGTCACACCATATACTCACAGTCCACAGTCTATATTAGGATTTACTCTCAGTGCTGTACATTTTATGAGTTTGGATAAATTTGTCAATGATGTGTGTCCACCATTATAGAATGTATCTGTGCTCTGTTCATCCCTCCCTCCACTCCATTTAAAACCATTTCAAAATAAGACAAATTGCACACATTTTGGAAGACATTTCCTTATTTGGTATTGCTGCTATTAAGTAGGATCAACAATCATACAGCTTATGGATGACATAGCTTGTAAACTTTCTGGCTTCTTGAGCCCTCAAAACTTCCAAGATTTAAAAATTTTTAGGTGATTTGCATTTCATCAAATAATCCATTTTACTGATCTAGGACTAAATCTAGGATAAGTTTTGGTGGCTGGTTGTCTTAAGTCCACTTGTGCTGCTGTTGCAAAATACCCAAGACTAGAAATTCATAAAGAACAGAAAGTTATTTCTCACAACCCTGGAGGCTGGGAAGTCAGTCCTATATGCTGGTAGGTTTGCTGTCTGTTGAGGGCTGCTCTGCTTCAGAGATGGTGCCTTGATGCTGCCTCATGAGGGGAGTGGTGATGGTTGGCAAAAGGGACCAAATTATCCTCATAAAAGTTAAGCCCTTTTATAAAAGGACATTAATCCATTCATGAGGGCAGAGGCCTTGTGCCTTAAAACATTTCTCACAAGGCTTTATCTCCCAACACTGTTGAATTGGGAGTTTTAAGTTTTCATCACGTGGGTTTTTGGGACACATTCAGACCATAGCAGTGGGTTTGCATTGTAACCCATTTTGGTATCATCTACAAAATACACAGCAATTGAAAACAAGGGAAGCTTAATATTTAAAAAGTTTTAAACAGATAAGAAATAGATATGAGAGAAGTTTGGTACCTTAGCACTGAGGGAGGGAACTCAAGGAAGGATAAACTTAACAGAGATGGGTCAAATCTGGGTTTAGACCTTACTGCAGAAGGGGTAGCTGTAGTTCACTGGATGGTAGAGAAGGATACTGGTTTGGCCACACTAGAGTTGATCTTTAGTAAGTAGGTAGGCAGTAAGCTACACTCCTAAGGTGCACAGAAGCTGCTGGTGACATGAGGCATACAGAAAGAGTCTGGGAAAGAGGATGCTAGAGTCTGGAGGAGTCTTTGAGTGTGAGATTAGTGTTAGGAGTAGGGAGGAAGGTGTCCATTAACTTAGCCTGGTCTTTGAAGTCACTAAGGAGAGCAGTACATTCTGGAAGAATGGCTGGGGCATAGTGCAGAGACTATTGGATGTCTCTGCATTCATACTTATTGATGGCCACAACTGCCAGAAAGCAGCAGGAAAGCCCTTTCAGGGTGAACTTGGAGCCAGTGGTCTATAAATTGGTAACTAGTGTAATAATTGATCAGGTCTAGGAAGGCTTTGATAGGAGGGAACCTTACAAGGTAAGAGAAGTCTCAGCTGTCCACTTTTGCCCTCTTTGTTTTGCAGCATAGTGCATAGTCTGTCTGAAATGTGGGCATATATGTAATAGTAAAAATGTCAGGGCAATTGGAATGCTTCGTTCCTGAGCAATTTCTTGCTTCAGTTCTGCCACAATTTGCTTTTGTGTGTCTTCCGCATGTTTCTCTCAACTTTGCCTTTCAAGACAACCTCATAAACATTTCTGTCTCTGATATTAAAACCAACAAAAGTAATGCTCCTTCATGGTAAATGTTTCTGGTTTCTAAATTATTCTTGGGACAAGTTTTTTTTCTTTAGTATTGAATCACTTTTCTGGATGGTCTCTAGCTTTCACTGTTTTTGGCTTTGTTTTAAATGTGGCACCAGATGTCCAAGACAAGAGTAGAATGGAGGGTATTCTTGGATTTTTAAATAATGTATTATTACTGTTTAGATGTGGGAGTGGTGGGGATTGAGGTGGCTGTAAGAGAGAGAGGTAATGAGGAATTAGAAGGCATGAGTATCATGAGGAACTCAGTGGTGGAAGTAAAGAAATAAATAAATGTACGCCATAACCAGGTAAGTATTGCTTCAGAGAAATGATGGAACAACTGATGTAGAAGCACAGACAGTGGGAGAAATGGTGGTGCTTGCCTTTAATCCCACTTGGGAACCTGAGGAAGGAAGATTGTGGCCAGCCTAGGTTTCATAGTGAGTGTCTCAAAAAACCCAAACCAAACAAAAAACCCCAAAACAATAAAAGCATAGAAGATGGATCACTGGCCTTGGAAAAGGCAGGAAAGATTTCACTGAGGAGGGGATACTTGAAAATGATCCGGATAAATGAACAGAAGCTTGCCATCAAATGAATTTGGTAGTGATACATTTATTGTAGCTAGAAGATAGTATCTGTAGAGACCCAATTATTGAGAAGGTCTGATACAAAATATTAAATCAGGAGTGTTCTGTGTTAATAGTGGAAGAAGTCTGGGCTTTATGATCAGGCAAATGATTTGTTTTATTCATTTATCAGCTCTTAATTGTGTACAAGTGGCTGACCACGTACATGCTAGGCAGGTGCTCTACCACTGAGCTACACCTCCAGATCCCCGCTCTCTTTATATGTAGTTGTTTTGTTTGGAGGATTATGTGAGAAAACATATGCCTACAACATGTAATCTCAGTAAATACTAGCTAAGTAGGTGATGTATTTAGTTAAGGGTGGCACTAGGAATAAACAATTCTGTTTCTACCCATGTGCCTCCCTATTTGATTCTCTTCACTACAGAAAAATACAACATTTCCTTTAACAAATGTCAGGTGATAATGCATCTCTTCTCAATTTTTAGTGTCTTCCTATCTAATGTGACATGCCAACACTACTCACTCAGTCCCTTTGTCACCCCAAACCAGAACATATCCCACCACTCCATTTACTCTATGATTCAGTATGTTGGTCTTGCTCGTTTCAGCCACAAACATACTTTGACTTCCAGACTTTTGTGTGGTTTCCTCTATCTGGATAGATTTTCCTTAAATACTCCATGATTCACATCCTTGATTCAGGTGTCGCTCAAGGCCTACCCTGACCACCAAGTGGTGAATGTGCCACTACTCTGCTTTTTTACTCCTTTGTTTTTCTTAATATTGATGGTGGGGACTTTTGTTTCGTTTCACTGTATTCCCAATGATGTGTATAGTACCTAGCAATAATGTAAAGTGCTCTACAAAAACTTGTTTTTTGAATGGGTGAGATTGAGAAGATGACTTGAGGGCCTGAGTGAGGCACGTGGTGTACTCAGCTAAGAGTTTTGGGTTTTCCTGTGGGTAAAAGGAAGGAGACCAGCATTTTTGATGCAACTTAATATGAATATCAATTTTCTCTTTTTTTTTCGCAGTACTTTGGTTTGAACTCAGGACTTCATGCTTGCTAGGCATGCACTGAACCACCTGAGCCACTCCTCCAGTCCTCAATTTTTTCCTACTGCCTATATTGATTTGTACTTACCGTGACTAGAACTTTTTCCCCCCCAGGAAAACAACCATTTCCTTTCTCTCCAGGGGCCAATTCCTTAAAGCCTGGAAACCATGGCAATATCTTTACATAGTAGTGAAAGTTAGAATACAGACCTTTTGTTTTCGTTTAAACACAGAGGTACTCTTAGGTTCCTGTGATGTTTTAGTATAAAATAAGTCCCAGTTTATGGGCTTGAGTATTTTTATAATGATGTTAAGAGAGCTGTCAATTTGTTTTAGGTTGCAGTAATAAGTTTTAATGTTTTGAATTATTTACTTGGCTTTTTGAACAAGTATAAAAGAAGACAACAGAACTGAGCACAGAGAAGTCTTTCTTGGAAGGGGATCCAGAAGTACTGGTGACAGAAATATCTGTGACTTGACTTAGCAGGCTAAAGGAAATAAGACCCACTAAAATTTCAGCACTCCTTTAAATCACTTAAGTAGTGAGTTTTGTTTTTTTAAAGAGACTTTGGGGAAACATTAAAATTATGTTCAGAACCAGATCTTATTTCATGTTGAAGCAGAAGCAATATTCTATTAAAAATGAAAGAAATGTCAATCATACTTTAATAAAGTGGTTTTGTAGAGTTGTTGGAAGAAAAAGATTAACAAAGTATAGGAAATGTTTCCCAAGTCCACCCCACCTGGGATGTAGGGGGTGGCCTCTCTCTGTGTTGCTTGTGTAATTTTATGAGTCAAACTTTGTAGGAAGACTTAAAATTTAAATGCCACTTTTTGTTTTTCTTTTATTAGTTGGGGGTACCTTGGACAAATTGAAAGTCTGGCCCTCAACTTCAAACTAGTACCTATCTCACCCACTTGTAAGGGTTAAATGAGACAATGCCTGTTGATGCTTGCTTAGCACAG